TGTCCAGCAGTGTGGGCTGATGATAACGATGATGATACCCCTGTTAAGACACTTATGGCTTTTTAAGCTTAGGTGGATTAATAAGAAATCCATTGTCTTGAAGTGACACGGTTATAGAATAGTTTTTTTTTCTTTTGATTGATGCGATATTGCATTCGAAGCCGTTTCAGACCATGATCAGTTCACTATTTAGTGAAATAATAAAGAAAATATTTTAAGTCACACATCACAAAGAGGGATGTCATATGTGGCTAATCATTTTGCTGTATGATCTATGGTTGGTACGCTGTTTAGTGGAGTTTTGTAAAGTTTAATATTTTATGCTATAGGCTCCGAAAGACAGTCGTTATACCATACAATTGAGACTACGACCTAATGTCGCAAGATCGGTGGCGGCATTCATGTTCTGATGTATGTATATGAATTCCATTAAAATTCAATATAAATAACAGGGATTAGTAAATGTCAATATTGCAATACTTTCAAAATTTTATGATGTATTTTTGTTAATCTATTAAAATGAATAAAAATGTTCATACAACGCAGCGTTACTGTTTTGGACGTAAGTTCTTGTGGTTTGTGGCGGTTACAAGAGTTAAGGTAATAATTAATTAACTTGTTGCAATATAATCATAGCGACCAGGTTCAATAAACACAATTTACAAACGATACAATTTTAGTTTGATACAGCATCAAATTTGCTCTCACAGAATTTTCGTTTCGAATAATTAATAACGAATAAAAAAGAGGTAAACATTATATACATTATATTATTATATATACATACAACTACAAACCAGAGGAAAATTAAAAAAAAACACTAAAATTCTACAAGACAAAAAAACGTTCGATTTGCGAAAATTATACCTTGGTATACGTGCCGCAAGTCGCGTGTACCGATAATATGCACACAAAGATTTACTGACGAACGAATTAGCATTATAATGATTTATTTCACTGGCAACACATTGACTCAGTAGTAAATTCAAAATGCCAACCTAAAAAGAACCCTAAGCATTAAAACACTGTACCGTGACAAGTATCGTTGGAAATGGTTAAGTTTTATTGCGAGGACGACTTAATACGTAAACGACTCACGTTTCGGAAACACCCTCTTTATGACTGTACGAGTGTGCATTGTACATAGTAACTAATCTTACTATGGCTATCGAGAATTGTTTACAGGGAAAGGGAAAATAGACCTTTAAGTAATTGTTTTTTTTTTACTCGAAAATCTCAAGCCTCAGCTGGTGTGCAATGGTTTCCGAAACCATTAGACCGTAACTGAACCGTTTCCGAAAACAACTCATAGTGCTACTGACTTCTCTTATTATGGTAATATTAAAAATATTTAAAACCAATGAAATATTGCTGTCATATGCAAGAAATAAAAAAGTTAGTATCAAATATTATTTAGTTAGAAACATATGATACTATGTATTTACATAAATTACAATTAATTTTTGAAACTGTTACTGTGTAAAAATATTGTAACTTGTTTGACGCATCACAATTCGATGTAGAAGGTATAAAATTACCAATAGTTCATGTGAATTAGCAACTAAAACAATCCCGGATTAGTCATCGTAACTGGAAATTTAACCAAAAAAACAAATTAAATTAATGTTGCAACGATTCTATTTAATAATAATAAATTGTTTTCGTATGCTCGTCATTGTCCAGTTGTTAGGGATTTCAGGAAAATTAAGCACACCCTCGAAATACAAATTACCCAACTAATTTAAATAGGAGTTTTTCACATTATTTTGCGTTAGTCACTGATGTTAGGTCGGATTTCATTAATTTATCATTTTCTCTATTTTGAATCCCAAAAAAAAACAGTGGGTTTTACTGCATACCTATATCCTTGTTTGTTATACCTAATTTATAACACATGAATAACGAACAAGGTTAAATTGCGAAAACGTCTAAACTTTCTTTCGAGATTACTCACGCCATAATATCTGACTTGCAATACGTTTGGGATTATGCCAACGATGTGGCGATGTTCATTTCTTAATTTTCATCGGATTTTTATTCTATCGCAACGGAGTCATCGACTTCCCAAGTGTAACTTGTGACTACTTGTGAGGGATGATAAATAATACTTTTGTTGGTATTTTTCTCGTTAGACTAGACTTTACTAGATTACACTATACTATCCAATATGATCATATAATATATATATATATATATAGTGTAAAGACACCACAACGTATTTACTAACAATTACGAATAATAAAGCTTTTTTCCTAACGGATTTCGAGGCAAGCGCTAAGTACAGGGAAATTTTATAAAAAAATTAAATTCTTGTTTCTTAAAAGATATAAATGATTTAAATAATTTAAATTCAACCGTAAGTGATACGTTAACATCGAATATTTTAAACGTGGATCATGTTTATGAATTTTCTTCCAATTCTACTAGATAAATGAGAGAAAATATTTAACATCTTGACAAAAACAACAATTTGACCAAATAAATAAAACAATTACCAAAGAAATGGGTAATCTCCCTATACTTCCCTTCTATTTGACTCCATACAGAAGAAAGCCGTTCAGATTGTCGATAATCCCATTCTCACGGATCGTTTGGAACCTCTGGGTCTGCGGAGGGACTTCGGTTCCCTCTTTATTTTGTACCGTATGTTCCATGGGGAGTGCTCTGAGGAATTGTTCGAGATGATACCGACATCTCGTTTTTACCATCGCACCTCCCGCCACCGGAGTAGAGTTCATCCATACTACCTGGAGCCACTGCGGTCATCCACAGTGCGTTTCCAGAGGTCTTTTTTGCCACGTACCATCCGGCTATGGAATGAGCTCCCCTCCACGGTGTTTCCCGAGCGCTATGACATGTCCTTCTTCAAACGAGGCTTGTGGATTGTATTCAGCGGTAGGCAGCGGCTTGGCTCTATCCCTGGCATTGCTGAAGTCCATGGGCGACGGTAACCACTCACCATCAGGTGGGCCGTGTCCTCGTCTGCCTACAAGGACAATAAAAAAAATTACTACACGCTTCCAATTAAAGTCGTCGTGGCCTAAAGGCTATGACGTCTGGTGGCATTTGAGTTGAGCGATGCACCGGTGTTCGAATCTCAGGCGGGTACCAATTTTTCTAATGAAATACGTACTCAACAAATGTTCATGATTGACTTCCACGGTGAAGGAATAACATCGTATAATAAAAATCAAACCCGCAAAATTATAATTTGCGTAATTAGTGGTGGTAGGATCACTTAACACCAGGTGGGCTGTGAGCTCGTACACCCATCTAAGCAATAAAAAAAAGCTCTGCTTTGGCTCTTAACAAACTAATCATGATGATTGGTTGATTGATTAAAAAAAAAACAAATGTCTAATACTAAACATTGAAAGTTATTCAAGTCATTGTTTTGGACACTGACCTTACTTTCGTCAAAACATAACTACAATTGTGTGAATCAGCTGGCAATCCCGCCATACACCTCAACTTCCGTACGTGTGACATACATACTAAGTACCGATGGTCTACAATGTCCATTAAATCACACGGCCCATACCTTAGTTCAATGTAGTTAGTTAGTAGTTTTTTAGTTTTCGTAATTACATGACTATCAATTAAAAATAATTTAAAAACTCATTTAAGTCGATTATTCCGATAAAAATGTTTTTGAACTACGATAGTCAGCCAGGTACTTAAGGTTTTACTCTGAATAAAAATTTTATTTTCTCTGAATTGTACTCCTCAAACAGTTACCTATCTTATACAAACTTAGATTTAAAGATTAAATTATTTTTTATTTATTTTCGAAAGTATCAGAAAAATCAGGCTGCTTCGTCGACTTACCCAATTTACAATTTGGTCTATCACTTTTTACATTTTCCCTGGAAATGGGAGATTGCCCGTTTGTTGAGTGGTTATATATCTGCTTAGACACTCTTTTTTAATATTGGTCTAAAAGCTAAAAGTTTTTCTCTGTGTGAATATGTATATGTAATACGTACATACATACGTACCCGTAAATACCTATATATTTTTGCAGTTCAATCTTTCGTTTATTATTACGATTTTATTTCCGAAATTTCGAATTAAGAACTAATAATATTTTGAGGTCTGACATTTTATTTGACTTGGGTTTTCATCTTTATGGTAAAAGCGTCCGAAGTGAAATGCCAATCGTCTCCTCGGTTATGAGATTTAAGTAATTTGTTTCATTAGCAAGTATTTGGATTTTGTTAAATCGTACAATATAGTTGGCACCAGCATTCACAGCACGTTTGCAAACTTCAGACTTGTGTACTCGATTATTCTTGACATCTGAAATGTGCTTCTTAAATATTACCAAAACGTGTTCCTTCGTCTGGGTCTTATCTATAAGAGTCCACACTCACAGTCCTAGTTACACTAACAGATCTTAAGTGCTGGCTAGGTTTCTTGTATGGTTTAAAAACTTTTCTTTAGATCCAGATCCAAATATTTACAAAAGATTATAACGACAAAAGCAGTTTCAATTAGATTCCGCTATTTTCACTATACTAGGTACAAGTGCTTTTAAAGAAACTTTCATTGCACGTTATTGTATATTGAATAATAACAATGATCTTGGTTAAACTTTCTAAAAATGGACAGTTGGGTCTCTACGATATGTTAAATTTATTTCCATCTCCTAAAGGAAAACGATTGCAAATTTAATGACGCATGTCACTCTTTTCTTTGAATTTAATCTACACTGTTGCATTTCTGATCTTTTATCATGAATTCTCAAGAAGCGACCTTCCAGTATTTAGGTTATATACTTTTAAGACAATATTACTGTACCAATATGTATGCTTAGCACGTTTATTAACTTATTTAAATTATTTTTGTCTAATCTTAAAGCTATACATAATTTATAATGTTTGTGAATTTACAACTTTAAACGTATTGAAGCAAAATAACATATATTGTTTTAAAATATTTAAACCAACTAGTACAATACAATACAATACAATCCAAGAATAATTTACAATAACTTTCAGAGAGCAGCGGCAGCATACTAGGAGCGAGTGAATGGAATACCGGCTATTCTTCTACTACGTCCATGTACCCTTCGTATAGCACCCTTCAGCCTGCATATTACAAGCCTGAACCAGCCATACACATACCTGCGAGTAAGTTTTTATGCATATTTTTATTAGAAACCACTGCCACAACCGTTTCATCTTTGCCTTCTTCTAAAATGGCATTTTTTTAATAATCGGCAGTAGGACTAACGGCAATGGCAAGAATATTAAGCGTTTACCGAGAAACAGCCGAACTCCCGACTTAAATAATTATAATGACAGCGACTCTATCTAGAAATAGGAAGTCTTAGTGCTGTTTAATATTTGCAATCCCTTTTTTTGTAGAAAATTAAAAAAGAAAAGCGAGGCTCGTAATTAGAAAAACAACTTTTTAGAACCAAAGTAACAGTAATTAAGAGAAATCATGGTTACCGATAATCTTCAAGGATAGGTAATTTTAAAGTCTGTTCAATCAAATCGTCCGAATTAGACCAAGAAAGGGACATCGCTAACACGAAAAGTAAACAAAATATCAAATTTTTTTAACCGTGTTTTTATTAGCACTCCTCGTGGCGGAGGTCATATAAGTTAAATGTATTTTTTGCTCCAGGTCACTTCAACACTTGTTTCCTTTCAATTTACATACGTATATTCACCGTAAAATGTCTAGCGATTATCCGGGAATCTCCCGGAAACTAGCAAATCTCTAATTTGAAGTAATTTCTATAAACAACGTTATTGAATTCAATTCATTATTTTTGCAGTTCATCAAATGTTTACAGACTATACTGAGATTCAAGAACTAGAACAAAAAATTTAACATCCTCACGTGTATACGATTAGTGTCTTGTCTGATTTTTATTTATGATTTTTGCTGATAATTTAAAAGTCAACTAAATGCATTCTTCTTTATTATTTCCATAACATTATTTTAGTATTTTTTCCTAATAAAATAACACACGCACATCAGTGTACGAGGAAATTATAAAGTAATAACGAACGCGACGTAATTAAATTGTGCTTTGTTATAATTGATATAATTGGTACCTACGTACCGAGAATCGACGTCATCCTAAATATGCACCTATTTAATTGTTGAGGCATATTTCCTTAAATCATAACGAGCATAACCACGGAAATGAAGCGGTTTACCACATCATAACTAAACTACTACTTCGAAATAATGAATTGACCATTCATCTTACACTACTAGTAATAGAGAAAATTACGACTGAGGTCAATTTCTAATTTAATTGAATAAATTACTCCTAAATATTGAATAAAAAATTGATATAAACAATATTTAGATCTACCGGTCTAGCTTGCCGTCAGGCACATTAGAGTAAATAGGTTTTATGAGTCTTCAATTACACCTACGTTAATATTTGAACTACTAATGTTTGAAACTTTATACCCTCTAATTTACAATCACGCTTTTTTATATAAGATAATGATGTTTTAGTACTTATTAATACCCGATTCCCTTCCCGATCATTCCACTTTCTGTTTATTCATATACATCAGCCATTTTACTTGAAAACAGCGACAGTATAATAATAAAATTTAGAAAATACATATAACCAATTTTCGTGATATAAACTACTAATTAAAAGAAGCTATTTCAGTTGTGAAAAAAATTCGACTGCAGAAGAATAAGGCGTATCGTGTACGCCCTACTTTCATTGTATTGGAGAAACTAACTGTCATGTTTCTAATCCGGCTACCGTCTTCGTCGAACTTGTCGATCAAGATGAAGAGTTCGACGAGCGAACTAACCCATAGACACAGCCCACTGAATTTCTCGCCGGATCTTCTCAATGGGTCGCGATTCCGATCCGGTGGTAGATTCTGCGAAGCACTGCTCTTGCCGGGGCTAGTGTTAGCAAATTCTCTCACGTTGAGCCCGTCAGCTCATCTACCCGTCCGAGCGTAGCTGGAATAGCCTCTGAGGCTACCAGCGAATAGGTAGGGAAAAAAACCATATTCTAATTCACGACTAATAAATACATAGTTTGTTTTTGTAATTAAAAGTTAATATTGTTTCGTTTCCAGTATTACCCGAATTACCTCTTGGGCACGCTGACTATAGTGGGTTCCAGTCAAGCACAACTAGCTACAAAGGCAGCCCCAGTGGAACGAGTTCATCACTAACCGAACTAAACCCAACAACGCCTGTTACTACGCAGCGCTACGACTCCAACTACTACAACTCATGGCCAGCAAATTCGTACAATTACAACAATTACCAATACAATAACATCAATAACAATCCCGCGTGCATACAATCTCACGCGCCATACATCAATCCAAATCCGCAAATGATACTACCGAATCTTTATTCAACTGTCAACCAAAATCAAATTCACGTACACCTACACAGTTCCTCAGATAAATATAACTTAGAGCAGTGTATCCCAAGTGAGATTAAAATAAGTGATATAGACGGGGGTATATCTATAACGACAGAACTTCAGGGTACAGGAGAGCCGAGTGGTATAGTCCAAACTTGCGAAGCCAACGATGAAGTGAAACACGGAATGTATGGCGCAGGAAGTCAAGAAGTTTGGAGACCATATTGACGGTTCGTTAATCCTCAACAAAAACATTCCGTTGTACATATTGTGATATAGGTAAAATGTAAATTTCCATGTTGTAGGTTATTAATGTAAAGATGTTTTAAATTAATGTTAAACATTAATTAGATTTTAATTGTTAACAATTTAAGAAATAAATTAAATGAAAAAATAACTTTCTACTTCTCTTTCTGAGTATTCTCTGTGTACCAAAAATTATATATTATTTTTTATAAAAATAAAGAGTGGGTACTAAAACGGGGAAACCTACAATCGTATAGGAAGCCCTTATACTCATAGTCAAACTTAAAGTAAATAAAAAAAAATCATTTTTTCTATTGTTATTATCATGCGTGCTGACCATAAACATAAGAAAATAAGTCAAAAGGGTTATGGAATATTTCTTCGAAGCTCAATAATTTTTACATAATTTTGCATTCATTATTAATGCAAATGTTTCGCATTTTGAATTTTCGCAAACTTTGAATTTGCGTTTAAATTTAGATTTTATATAATTTTTTTGTTTTGACTTCCTATTTATTAGGTGCAATGTGAATTGTTACTGGAAATTAACGAGAATTCCAGGTTTTAATGCTGCTAGGGTTGTTACCGTAACTGAGCGTCCCCTTCTCCTCGCTTCGGTTTCCTCAATGCTGAGGGTCGTGACCACTACCTCGGAACAAGAGTTTGCTGTGGATAACTCGCCATTTCGCTATTTGTGGTGCAATGCGTCTACCTAGTGTTTCGCCCAGGTCCTTGAGTATTTCAGCTGTGATATGATCTTGACCTGGTGTTTTCTTAGTTTTTAGTTAATCAATAGCCGCGGCCACGTCATTACGCATCCTCCCGATCCATTAACGGTGCTTTTAGGTACCTCAAGCACCGATCACCGTCCTCGCCGAACCCGTCGCTTGCGACGAAGGGCTCGACGAGTAAATTAACCCATAGAAAAAAGCCCACTGAATTTCTGGCCAGATCTTCTTTCTCAGTGGGTCGCGTTTCCGATCCGGTGGTAGATTCTGCGAAACACTACTCTTGCTAAGGTCAGTGATAGCAACACTTCCGGTTTGAGTCCCGTGAGCTCACCTACACGTTAAAGAGAAGCTGAAATAGCCTCTCAAGGCCATCAGCATAGGTAGGAAAAAGAAAAAAGAAAAAGAAAGCCACGACTATATCGAATCGCAAGAAGTTGGTTTTCAGATCCAGACTAGCCAGCCCACGGAATCATAGTCCGCTATATTAAGCATTTTATATAGTTGTTCACAAGGTCCGTAACTGACTTTAAGTACCTATAGAAATTTGATTTGAGGCACGACAAAAATTTTTACAACAAAAATGTGTCTTCAGTTAATCTTGACATCCGCAATGTGGAGCACATTAACTGTAAATGTGGAAGATCAAAAAATGAAAAAAATTAATGCAAAATTAAACCATAAAGATAATCTTAATTATTTCTAATACATACTTGCGAAAACTGAAGAATATGCTATAGGTACGTGCCAGGGTTCAAAATGCATCCATACACTTTGTAGAAACAGAAATGATATTAAAAATGTTAAAAATAAATATTTGAAGTTGTTTGAATTTTTCTACATCCAGCGGCAATTGTTTTATTTATGTATTCCTTAAATTGGTGCAGGAGCTCACGGTCCATCTGATATTAAGTGGTTACCGGATCCCATAGACATCTACAACGTAAATGCCGCCACCTCTCTTGAGATATGAGTTCTAAGGTCTCAGTTTTTACAGTGCAACGACTGACCTACCCTTCAAGCCGAAACGCATTACCGCTTCACGGCAGAAATAGGCAGGGTGGTGGCCTCTATTCACCTCTGTCTACTAACCTCTATTTAACACGATTTTATTAGCTTATCCTATCTTTGGAACAAAATCTTTGAACTTCATTTTCACAAACTTCAAGGCATCCGATTTAGTTTAAAAGTTCAGAAGTATGAATAGATGACAATAAAATAATATTCCTATAATCTAAAATCCTGACTACAATCGACGAAATAAACAAAAATCCTTTTTTTATTTTTAAATTGATAGCATTGCATATTTTTTGAAACCTACATTTATAATTTAATGTTTTAAAATTACGAGTGATACATGAATTAAAAAATATACTTTGTAAAAAAAATAACAGCCTAATCCTTTGTCTAAGCTGTTTTATGAAGACTGTTATGGAGCAAAATGAAATAAAGGAAAAATCAATTGGGATGAAATTAAAAGAAAATGAGATGATATGATAAAATTAAATATAGTCGGTTAAAATATAGTCTTAGTAAATTGATGGTTTTTACTGAGACTTTGGAAGATCCGGAGAAGCTATGTCCAGCGGCTTTGTTCTTTGTCCCACATTTGTGCACTTTCACAGATACTGAGTAATTAATAAACCACTATTATTATAGTGATATCAAAACTGAAGAAACATTAAATTAACATTGTAAAACAATTCAGACAACTTCGTTCCTGCGTTCCCGTTAAAAAATCCTCAAGTTCGTATTGTTTGTTTGTATTCCCGCCAAAAAAATTGTTTTTATTCAATCTGTCAAATGGAACATAACCTATACAGTCACTTTTTTAATGCCTGAAGCTATTTTTCAAACGAAATTATATAATAATGGTGGGAAAACTAATTGTTTTCATATTAAATTAAATTGACTGTGGAACTAAATGGTTTTTTCTGTGGAAGCGTGCGTGCTTCGCAACCATAAGGATTGGTCTGCCTATGGATTTGTTTATCCGAATCTTGGTACGTCTGCTTAACAACTTTGCAAAAAGAACCGAATATAGGGCCGCACTGCATCGTAGTGTAATTGATGCACGTATTTCAATCTCGTCTTTCCTGTTATTAGTATCTATTACAGAGCAGCCAAGGTATCCGAATTTTACTACTCTCCCTTGTACTTCGTATTTCCCACAAACGGTCTTCTCGCTTTAAAACTATTATGTAAAGCGTCTATTAAAATTAAGAATGTTCATTGATGGTCAGAAGGGCAGGAAGGGGAATTTCCCTTCGATTCTCTTAAACGAAACGCGATTTAGATAACATCACTGTAGCATTTGTTTTGAGTTTATGTATTTTTAACGTGACAAACTATTCTTTTCTGCAAATCATTAATTCCATACGAATTTGTGGCCACTTGCTCTCAATCTATATCATCATATTAATGTTAGCCAACACCAGAACTCAAGTTTTAGTCAAATGCTGTTACTAGCATCAGTGCAAATTAACGATAATCAAAAATTTATTATGATTATCAAAGGAATACGAATGTAATCATTGATAATGATATCAAGGGGAAAAATAGACCAACAGAATTATGTGGGTCAAAAAATATTTTCAAAAACTATACATTAAAATGGCGCTATTGTACCAAAAAATACGAAATTTTAAAACAAACAAATACGTACCTATCATGAATTAGTTGTGGGATGTCTAATAGTTTTACCATCCGTCTCTTCCGATTAGGGTCAAAAATGGCAACTAAGGAATTCACCAGAGTATTCTTGAGTATTAAAGTAGTATTGGCAAGGCGTATTGCATAATTTGCATACCCGCACTTGTAGATACGAGTGTCTTGATTATTTAGAAGTTGCCTTGCGCGTAGTAATTCTACGTTCCGATTTTAATGTCAAAAACTGGAACTATCAATGTAAGTAGTATCATATATATGTGAATATAAATTGGCTACCTACAGAATAAGTTAATTATTCGACACACATTCACTTTACCTATCCAAAAAAAAACATATTTTTTACGGAGGACAGAAGAAACAGGTCCGTTGTTTATTTTTTTATTATTATAAGGCAATTTTTTCAATTTTAAATCATCGTGAAAAGGCAAAAAACATGGATTCTAACGTTATTTATTCTGATGAGGATGTTTTGACTCAAAACGGCCCTGGGTGTTATTTTAATTTTGTTTACATTTTCGTGCATTTATTTTTAATTTGAATATAATAATAGGTTACTTCAAGATAAATTTATATTTTTTGTTTCATTTTTCCACCATCAATAATAAAAACACTTTGTACTGGAAATGGAAAAGGCGACGCACTGGCGAGCTCATACTGGTAGTTTTCCAATTACAGCACAAGAGCGCATTAAGCGGCATAATGCTCAACTAAGCTTCAGCATAATTCGGCATTGTGCGTCACTGAGTCGCATTATGCTCTGTAATTGGAAAACTAATACAGGTAGTTTATGCCGCATAATGCGCTCTTGTGCTGTAATTGGAAAACTACCACTTGCTATTCTGCAACTATATTTAATATTAATTAAGAAATTTGCACAGTATTTTGAGTTGTTTTTTAATTCTTATTTCCAGGAGCGTACTGCATGTAAAAAAAATCAACTTGATGAAACTAAAAAATATAAATATCATTAAGCGGCCAATGGTCTTGTTTCCAGCTAATTTAAAAATCTTAGGCTTAAAGGTTCGTATTCGTGTGGCACTATCTAAAAAGTGATACGCTATAAAATGGCGTCGTTCGTGTATCGTTTGATGACCTCGTAAATTATTTTTCGTGCTCGTTACAGTATACTTAGCATTTATTTATAACGAATAGTAAACAAAATCAGTAAAAGTATTTATTGATATATCATTAACGAATAAGTAAAATTCTTATTAAACAAATGTAAGTTACAAACTAATTCACTTGTCAATCCATATCCTGCAATAGGTCTCCCGTAACGGTTGAAAAATGCAAATAACCCGTGCTAGGATGTTAACTTTGCTCCTTTGCTTACAGTCGAAATATCTCTAAACGTGTATGAGTGCAATGTCCGAGGAGACAGAGCGCCATGGTGAGGCAGCGTGTGAAGGCAGCACCGGTGGTGGTGACACGAACTCCATCCGAGTGTTATTGACCCCGCAGCAGCTAGACGCTGCTTCTGCCGATGCGCTCCGCTCCGCGTGGAAATCCCAGGACTCGTACATTGATCACCTCGAAAAGTTGAATAAACAGTTGGAAGGTATATAAGAGAATAACGAGCTAAGCCGCATCGGTTGGCGCTCGGTCATACCGCGAGTTCTCATGTATCTGTATATCGACAATACTTTAACTAAAATTAGTGATCTAATGAAAATGTTCTGTGATGTTGAAATTGTTTAGTTCGTAAACGTGTAGAAGGTGTATTTAGGTGTTTGGTAAAGGTGAAGATCAAGATATGGTGTTTGGTGGTGAGCCAGTGGAGTGTTTAGTGGAAGTGTTATCTCCAGTTTGTCCTGGAGTGATGTTCAGTGTTGTTACATACACAACTTCGGTAAATCCAGAAAGCAACGCAGTCCAGTTTTTTGCAAATGAAAAAGTAAATATATTTTCAATTGTTTTGCCATATTAGATAAGGTTTGTTTGTGCAGCTTTGTTATCTATCATCTTAATCTATATTTATCTACCCTTTTTTTGTATATTTAGGTACATACATCATTACTATAAATTCTGCATAAGTATAGGTTATTGAAAGTGAAATCAAATAACGTAAAATGTAAAAATATAAAGTAAGGTATTTGTAGACTTGATATTTAGAAATCAAGCCTTACTATCAACCTTAAAAATAGTATAATGAACATGTGTTAATAATAACAAAAATCACATAATCAACTAACATACCAATTAAAAATATACAAATTTGATTTTACTTCCTAAATAAGTAATTGTTTTGCTTCATTAAGTATTTATGTATTATTTACAGTTAATTATATTTTCAAGTGTATAAATAAATATGAATTATGTTTGGGCATCATTATTGAATGTAACTGAAATTAAGGCATTTATACTTTTCTATACTAATGGGTGAACGAAGTTTCATCTATAGTGCTCATAACCTAATCACTGGTAGTAATGAGTTCAGAATGTAAATTTGCTTGTATTTTGGTTACGTATGGTTTTTTTTACTGTGCATTATGCACTTTAAAATAAACAACAAGAAATTAAATAAAGGAAATATTTAATGTAATTGTATAATATGCTATGCTGTTTAAGAAAAGCAAATTAAAAAAACCAAGTAAATGAATACTGAAAAGCATATTTACTGTCTACACATGTTCATCAATATTTTTTGTACTCACAAAATCATAAAATACTAACTGAAAAGGTGGAAAGTAAAATTTTAATTTTCGTCTATTTCACAAGAAAATAAATAAGCAACATTGCACATAATACATATAATTTTTAAAGTTTGGCATACAATAAAATAAAAAATTAGAATGTGACATTTTTTAATTGAAAAATACATTTAAAGGCCTAGAGCTGTTACAAAATGAATACATACAAATAACATGAAATTAACACTAATAATATACACAATTTTTTACTAGTAACTTTAAGAAAAATCTACAAGAAGCCATTTGATTTACATAATCTTAAACATTAAATATTAGATTTATAAAAAAAATGCATTTACGATATAGCACATGCACATGCTTAACACCAATATTTTAAAAGCCTTTGTTTTTAATTATAATTGTCACTAATAAAATACACATACTTAATTAAAAACCAATGCTTTATGAATGTATGATTGCCACATCTTACTCCTTAAAGTTAGATCAGAAGTGTTCCCATACATTTATAATTTATCTTAATTCATTGTTGCACATTCATCTCACAATGTTTTTCTAATATATAATAAAAACAAAATCCACTAATTTTTATAATTTAGTTAAGGTGTTGTCGATTTTACAAATTGTTAAAATAATTATTTATCATCATTTAAAATTGAAATGTTTTTACTGTTACGGTTTTATTGTTAAATAACAAAATAAAGTAACTAAATGTATAGTATTGTAGATTTCAGTATTTTGTAATACCAATGAATGAACACAATGTATATTTGTAGTAATACTGAATATCCATATCAGACTTCAGTAATGTTCCATTATGTGCAGGAGGCTTGGAAAAGGCGAAAGAGATAGAGGATAAAATAAAACAGCAATATGCAGAGTCACAACACAGAGAGAAAGTACTTGTTCGGAGGCTCGCTGCCAAGGAGCAAGAAATTCAGGATTATGTTGTAAGTTCTACCTTAGCTCATGATAAATTGGATATGATTACTTAAAGAAGGTATAGACCAATGACACCCAACCCACTGAGTTTCTCTCCGGATCTTCTCATTGGATGATCGTGATTCCAATTCCAATGGTATATTTACCTGAGAACAACAAAAAATATATTTGAATATTTTCTCGGGATGGTTCCCATGAGCTTACCTATCTTTTAACATGCAGCCAGAATAGCCCCTCGAATCTGCTATCAAATTGTAAGCAAAAAAAACATCAAATCTCATTATTCTACTGCTATCTATAGGTCCAGTTAGAACTTACCAGATAGTGCTTTGGCTGTTCCAGCTAATATGATTTAAGGATTTAACTGCTTTCATTTAGATGAAAGCAACTGCATGATGCTATTAAACATTTTACAAGTTTGCGAACATTTATCTAAATTTTTGTCTTGCATATTTAAAAAGTGCACTTTTTGTAACTGTAAATTGTTTACTATTTCGTTTTGTTGGAACTTTGATTCCATGTTATCTAATACTATCAAAATGAATTTACAGATCACTTTAATTTCAGTCTGGGACTACCAATGAACCGCTTTTCTATTACCTCTAATAACAATATCATATAACCTTGTGTCTATGTCAAAAGATAATAATTCTACAAATAGTCAATGTGCCCACCATATAGTTTGTTAGCATGCAGAATGAGAATAGCTTATGACGCAACTTGCATTGACTTTTGCAAGTGTCAATGATATCTGTCTAAGATGTCCATAGGCTCTTATACCAAACAGTTAACAAAACACATTTAAGTGGACTTTAGAAATGAAGAGTAGAATATAACTATTTGGGAAAAACATCTGGTAAAGTTGACTTGTTGCCCTATATTTACCCAGTCTTGTAACCATAATCTGTAATATTATTTAAATTTAACACAAAATGAGATTATGTCTGTAAAAATAAAATAAAAACTGTTTTAGAGTCAAATAACGGAATTGAAATCTTCGCATGCAAGTCTAAATGGTCGATCAACTCTTCTTGATCCAGCTGTCAATGTACTTATTTTAAGACTCAAACAAGAACTAACTTCAACAAAAGCTCGGTTGGAAGAAACTCAAAATGAACTTTCCGCATGGAAGTTTACTCCTGATTCAAATACGGGGAAGAAATTAATGGCAAAATGCAGACTGTTGCACCAAGAGAATGAAGACTTAGGACGAATGACATCTAGTGGCCGGATAGCAAAGTTGGAAGGTGATCTAGCACTGCAAAAGAGCTTTAGTGAAGAAGTCAAGAAATCACAATCAGGTATTTATTACTAACAGTTAGAATTATATTTGAATTATCTAGAATTATTAAAATTTTGCATTTCAAATATTTCATCCTAGAATTTCACAACATTATTATGATATTAGAGAGAGAAAAAAAAAAACATTGCAAACATATTTAGCTTAACAACAATTGTAAAATTTACAGAATTGGATGAGTTTCTACAAGAGTTAGATGAGGATGTGGAAGGCATGCAGAGTACAGTTTTTTTCCTACAACAAGAATTACGCGCGTCCCATGCGACCGTGAACGGTAACCGACCGTCTCCCGCTGACAAAAGGACTTATTCGGGCAGTGAGTGTAGCGACACTCCCGTCGGTAAAAGGAGACGAGGATCGGTGCTGTCCCTAGAATATAACGAAGAAGAAGAACCCCTTACGGTCGCAAATGGCGACGCGGAGTAGCCCAGGATTCTAGTGTTCGATATTTCAACACGTTCTATTAAAACAAACTAGTGAAACTTGTGAACCACTATGATATATGTTTAGCCTGCTATGGCTCGTTTCGTAGACTCAAAATTAATTAATTAAAATCATTGAGTGAGTGAATATCATTATGTATTAAAGGTGAATCGCAGATACAGTGTCAATCACTCATAATAAAAAACGTGAATGCTTAGGCATCAGCACGTAAAGTGTACACTTAAAAATAAATATGTACTTTCGTTAGAAGACATAACATAAACAAATGTGTCATTTTCTATTGACAATGAATTGGTGATGATTGTGTCAAACGTGGATATGAGACTAAAGTAAAAGTATATAGTTTACTATTTATGCACAACAGTGGACCATGTGATCACATTGAATAGTGAATTGTTTTTGACATTGTTTTATACATAAGATATTAAAATGAGACACTCAGTTGACAATTTTATAATTTATTTATGAATAAGTGGATTGATTGTGATAATATATTAGAGAAATCTTTGAATAAAAAATGTGGATATATTCTTTGCTGAATTGATTGTTTCGTGGCAGGGGTTACTTGCCATAGAGTCGAAGGAATGTTTGGGTCTGTCTGTTGCAACAACTAACAATTACGTAACACCAAGCCTAATGCATAATTTTTATTGTTTATCACATTTTTATTAGATTTACGTGAGTTTCTATGAAATGTTTCTATTTTCAAATATAATGATTGTATATAGAGATATGTTAATAAACATATATAACTTGCATCATTACTTTAGTATCATTTGATTCATACCAATGAATAAATTTTACTTGTCCCACAGATACATACAATACATCAGTTTTAAACTGATATTATTTTTAAACTCTGCGTATTCGGAGGCAGTTCCAGTGCACCCTATGTATAATAATAGTACATAGTGTAATTTTAATAAACATAACAAGCCATAACTTTTCAAGAGACTTACATTAACTTTAATCATTAATGTATTAATGATTGTTATCCCTTTACCCCCCTTTAAGGAGCCCCTGTCAAAAAAACTAGGTCAATAAATAACTAAATTCTTCAAAACTCCCTTTAGGAACCCGATAATTTTATTGCTTAGGTAATTTGTTACTTCGCCGAAAAAGTTGTGATTTTTTACAATTTAATTGGTTGGAAAAATACTTCATCAACCGATATAAAGTTTGGCCATAATTTAGTATTTATTGTTTAGCAACTAGCCCTTCTGTACTGAGAAGAACACGTATTTAATGTCAGAACTGAAGACTTCGAAAATTACACAAAAGCGGATATAGGCTGTCATAGAAATCCATTAATCTGCAGATCATGATGAGATGAAATTAGAAAGGCCTTAAGGCACCAAGTAATCCTACCATCCAAAATAAAAAATTAAAATACAAAATCATGCACAGCATCCAAACTTTTAATACCTACTTTTGAGGTTTTAACAGTTTGAAAGTTAAAGCAATGCAATTGACGTCCTTTGTATTTGAGTAATAAGTATTTTGTAAATAAATCAAGATTGATGTCAGTGTGCTTATTGCGAGTTTTTTAACGTTATCGATAGCGTAAAAGTTAGCTCATATTTGTATGGATTGGGAACGTTTGCCTACGTTAGCCGCTAGGGGCGCTGTTCCAACTGCATACAAAATAGGGTTAACTTTTACGCTATCGGGAACGTTAAAAAGCTGGCACTAAGCACACAGACGTAAAACTATGATCTTTATTTATGTCTAGTCCGATATTTTGTGTAAATGGTTTCCTAAAGAGCACTAGGAGCTTGTAGGGAAAACTGGTATGATAGCAGTTTTTGTCTGTGGCGACATCTGTAGACTCAGGGAATTCGAGTTCAAATGAATCCCGGTAGAAACCTCACTATACTTTGAGCAGTTTTGAGCGCGAATTGCCCATTGAGTTTCTTGCCGGATCTTCTCAGTGGGTCGTGTTTCCGATCCGGTGGTAGATTCTGCGAAGCACTGCTCTTGCTAGGGTCAGTGTTAGCAACACTCCGGCTTGAGCCCCGTGAGCTCACCTACATGTTAGGGCGAAGCTGACATAGCCTCTCAAGGCTATAAGCACAGGTAGGAAAAAAAAGAAGCGAATGTCATTAGCGCGAACCGACGACAGATCGGCTCTCTATTAATGCGTACAAAGTCAATCACTACAAACTGCGGAGTATATAGTCGGTATCGCGCATTAGAAGTGGATTAGCGCGCGTATAATAGCCGGCAAACTTCTTGAGCATTTGTCGACGTAGTGGGGGTAAGTTCGCGCATGGTACACTCACGTGCAAAAACATTATTTACTCTGCGTCATAATGCTATTAAATTATTAATATCAACATATTATGTATTTTTTTATATATTTATTAAAACATCAACAAAAAATATAGGTTAATAATTGTAATAATTTAATCTTGGGGTAAAATAGATATTCCTTCTATTAAGTCAAAACTAGAGCTGTTGCCAGGTCTTCGTTCAGTTGAAGCGAAGCTGGTACTTGTAATTTTTTTTTCGTTATCATAATCTTGACCATCATCATCCTTCTCCTGTTTTATAATGAAGCAATATACGTCGTACACAAATTTTCTACCCTTTCTTTTGATTACTACACCAGTTTGTCGCGGCATAGTGATTTTTTTATAAAAAATCAACAAACACTCAACACATAGAAATGGCAACAAGTAATTATAACAAATAACTAACAATTAATAAGGATAGACTTTTTACTGTACGCAAGCGTACTTTTGGGAGCAAGCGGAAAGAGGGCGCGGTGCGGGACGCAAGGTTCGACTGATCTACCAATAACGCGCTCGATACGATTTCCCCTGCCGTCGCGCCTCACCCTCACCACCAAAGTGATCTAAAATTCGGTTCTGCGCAGTCAAGGTCATTTGCTCAAGAAGTTTGCCGGTNGGATAGACTTTTTACTGTACGCAAGCGTACTTTTGGGAGCAAGCGGAAAGAGGGCGCGGTGCGGGACGCAAGGTTCGACTGATCTACCAATAACGCGCTCGATACGATTTCCCCTGCCGTCGCGCCTCACCCTCACCACCAAAGTGATCTAAAATTCGGTTCTGCGCAGTCAAGGTCATTTGCTCAAGAAGTTTGCCGGTTACTATACGTATAACCTTTTTTATAAGTTAATAATATTTATAAATTTTTTTTACATTATTTTGTTATGATTTTTGTATTTTCTTAAATGGTACTTTTTCAAAAGTCCGTTAACAATTTCTGCAAAATTTAAATAATCAGCACTAAAGGGGTGACAGAGCCGTTAAACTTAATGTTTATACGGATACGACCGAAGGACCGAGTATTATTCATAAAGTTCAGTAAAAACAAGGTATCTTAAAAAATATCCTTGTATTCATCAAGAGATGCTATCATATGATTTTATTCATTTTTGACCTTGATTAAATAGTATTAAACTATAAAAGGGAGAAAACTTAAGATTTGTATTATGTAATATTTTATCGAAAATCTTTTTCGTGCAAAATTTAAAATAACAAGAATGTTTTAAATATGAATGACTAACGGTATCTAACATAAGCCCACTGAGTTTCTCGCCGGATCTTCTCAGTGGGTCGCGTTTCCGATCTAGTGATAGATTCTGCGAAGCACTGCTCTTGCTAAGGCCAGCGTTGGCAACACCCCCGGTTTGAGCCCCGTGAGCTCACCTACACGTTAAGGAGAAGCTGAAATAGCCTCTCAAAGCTATCAGCATAGGTAGGAAAAGAAATTAAAAAATATAACGTCAAATAAATTTTTTTTTTATAAAACCCGAGTACTTAATATTTTAAGACAATATTCGAACTGTCAGTCTACCGAACAGGCCCGATGGTAAATAGTACCTAATACGAAATAATCAGTCACGTTTTCTATAAACCTCTGAGCAAGTAGTCTTCACGCCACACCGTCAGTGCATCATCGACGTCTTCTCACAGCAAGCCAGGATGACAGCCTCAAAAGGTAAATGGAGTCCATCTCAACGCTTTCTGGTTTTGCGGCAACCTAGGACTGTACCATCAGCACTCGGAATCGCTAAATGCCTTACCATAACTAATTACCCAAAATAAATTATGCGAATTTTATTTAACATTAGAAAATTTCGAAAGTACCCAAGGATTAATATATGTGACATCTTTGGGCCCCCAATATCCTCCATATGTTTGCCGACTACAATTACTGGTAGGTATCTAAAATATGAAACATTCTAACGAAAAAATAGGTTTGAATATAAATTATAACGTGGACGTGTTGCATAGGTACTAGCCTTAAATCTGCGAAGTATACACTAGCGTAACCTGTAATGAAATAATTTTACCAAATCACCGATAGGGCATCGATAAGAAAAGATTTTCGCTAGAACCCGTTCAGATTTTAGAATTTTAGAACTACCGTCGAAACATTCGATGAATCTGTATGCTACCGCAGCATTACGATTTTTCTGATTAGAGAGACATAAAAATGAAACGCAATTTTGTACAAAAACATATATTTCGTTACAACTAAAATAAAGAAGGCACCACATTTGCTTATCGTTCGGTGGGTATATAAAATTTTCACGAAAATAGTATATGACTAGAAATTTTCTAAACTTACAGGAACAATTTTGGTTTGTGCTGATTATTCTTAACCCTTTAATATTAGACACTTAATTTAACATTTAACAGAGTACCTGCTACACATCTGTTTTTTGGAGGGCATAGGTATATGTCCAGCTGTAAACAGTAAATTACAATTCAAAAGTCCACCAAAACAGCGCTAGCATAGCAAGCGGTACGACATGCGTAGAGCAGTTCTAAATGGAGTGTTAAGTGTGGAATTGGAAAATGAAAACTTTTAGGGCTATTTTTTTAATTACAGCCTTCGATACCGTGGCGCCACCCTAAGTGATCGTTGTTCGACAGAAACATTTACACAAATTGTGCTCCATACCGTTACCCTCCATTATTTCTTATTTTGTGGCGATATTCAACTTTAATTTCATAGTATCTAAATTCATATTGTAAAATAAATGCAAACAACATAAGTGTGAGATTTATATAACTTAAGAAGTCGTAACAGTTGCTCACAACCAATAAATAGTGAAGTTAATCGATCGTGGTTTAATGCGTGCTAAAGACGACCCAAAGAACGCAAGAAATATTTTTTTTAACTCTTGACTATTGGAACATTTGTTATTCAGCGGCGAATTTAGGTTTAGGACCGTGAGGCTAGACCCTAGTCTTGAACAGCGACATTTGAAGAGCCAAACTTTAAAAAGTGACTAAAATTTATAGAGCGCCTGAACATAAAAGATTTTCCCGGCTCTTCATTGAAATTGATTTTTTTCGTTCACTGCGACATTGAACTTTGCTATTTTCTCTCGCTAGTAAATTTTAAGAAAAAAAAAAATGGAAATAAGATTTACGTAAAGAACTATTAAGCTCTAAAAAGGGACATATCAGAACGGGCCTAGGACATTGTCCATCACTATCACACCCGATACCGTTGACATTTGTTTAGATCGAGTTTTCTCTGCTAAGCTGCGTCTAATTCACGACTACAAAAGATAAACCTCGCATCATTTTATCAATATGCTTAAACTAAACTTAAAATACATCTTCTAATATGTCACTTACCATAAACAAAACAAAATGTAAACTCCTGAAAAACATAATTGCTATAATAACCTACCAAAAAAGGAGGGAAAATTGAAAATGATCGTCTTATAAAATAAAACTGTTCAGTTTTTGCCATCTTTTTGGTAAACTCAAACTACAGTCTTCACGTGATTGAAATAATTAAGCGAAGCGAAACATTTAAAAATAGTAATGAAAGTTCGTGGTTTACCGTAACTCTGCTGTTAGTGCAGCCGATGTAACGGTATACCAATATCTAAAGAAACGCTCAATCTAGATTTCGAACAACAAAATCGTAGATTGCTAATAGAAACCGGACACGAATAAAACAATTTATAAATGTAATTAAAAGGGATCTTAATTCAATTAAAACGTTTGATCAATTACATACTATTTTTGTAAAATAATAATTATTAATATAAAACACTGAACAAAATCAAATAATTTTAAGATTCGCCATGTCAAGCTAAGCAATAAAAACGCATTATGTCAGAAGAGGCTAATCGTTGTGTAGGTATTAATGTATGATAATTTTCTTTTGTGCAGTTAGTTCTTAGTTTATTCCGGACGAAAATGACGTCACATATAATAAATTTATGTTCAGGTGAGTTTTGAAAATTTGCGGCAAATGAAAAAGAAAGTATAGGCTCCCTATAATTTTTTTTATTGCTTAGTTGGGTGGACGAGCTCAACGGCCCACCTGGTGTTAAACGGCTACCGGAGCCCATAGACATCTACAACGTAAACGCCGCCACCTACCTTGAGATTAAAATTCTATGGTATAGTTACAACGGCTGCCCCACCCTTCAAACCGAAACGCATTACTGCTTCACGGCCGAAATAGGCATGGCGGTAGTACCTACCCGCGCGGACTCACAAGAGATCGTACCACCTGCAATTACGCAAGTTATAATTTTGCGAGTTTGATTCTTATACACGATGTTATTCCTTCACCGTGGAAGTCAATCGTGAACATTTATTAAGTACGTATTTTATTAGGAAAATTGGTACTTGCCGACGGCATTCGAACACCGGGGCATCGTTAGATACGAATACACCGGACGTCTTATCTTTTAGGCCACGACGACTGCGTATTATGGAATCATAGCGAGGAAAATTGTTCGTCACATTTTCCTAGGCATGTGATTTATTTAATTGGATGTACAAGTGCATAATAATATACTAAACTTCGATACATTATTTCGTTGAAAAAGCGGCGCGGCACGATAACCCTCATAATTCGGCCGCCTCAAGTTACATACCCGACTTAAAAGACGCGACGGGGCAACGAACAGCCGCCGTCGCCCTGGACATATCATTTTGGCTCCTCCCAATCAACTCTCGGCGCTTTTAAGCATTCCTAACACCCGTCACCGTCCTCGTCAAAAACGACAGAGTTCGGTAACTTTAACCAGACACAGCCCACTGAGTTTCTTGGCGGATCTTCTAAGTGCGTCGTGATTCCGATCCGGTGGTAAATTCAACGAAGCACTGCTCTTGCTAGGGCTGATAATAGCAAGATCTCTCAAGCCCTCAATCCTCAAGCTCTCTGAGCCCCGTGAGCTCGCCAATATGCAAGATAAAGCCATAATAACCCCTCAAGGCTACTGGCAGTTAGGTAGACAAAAAAAAGATACATTATTTATTATTTTTGCAAGAGTAAATAAATTAATAAATATACTAAGAAAAGAAGTAGGTACATACATACTAACTAATAAGCACCTTTCAAATATGGTCCCACGTTATTCTTTAGCGTAATATTAATACTTAATATATTGTTTTCATTGTATACAGTACTAATAAATTAATTTAAAACATCAAAGCCAAAACTTCTTTTGTTAAAGTTGAACTCAATTACGCCGTATTGATTTCAGCTTTTAAATGGCTTTTAAATAGTATACATAAGTTTTACGAAAATCGAGGCAAAAATGTAATTGCCTTCTTTTTGTGGACGTTTAAGAAAATATCCCACAACCATTTGTTATTCCGTATTTAACTTCGGCAGATACCTAAACTACAGTAGGTAATTTAAAATAATCTACGTTACTCAGTTCTTACTACGGTCTATATTAATTGGTTGACGATGGCCTACTGAGTTTCTCGCCGGATCTTCTCAGTGGGTCGCGTTTCCGATCCGGTGGTAGATTCTGTGAAGCATGGCTCTTGCTAGGGCCAATGTTAGCAACACCTTCGGTTTGAGCCCCGAGAGCTTACTTCCACGCTAGGGTAACGTTGATATAGCCTCTCAAAGCTATCAAGGAAAAAAAGGTTGACGAACTAATGAAATAATAATGTATAAAACAATCTGCAATGTTGCAGCGACGTGACGTCAACGTCGAACCAAGAGTCACAATGTTTCTGCATCCGTTTTCTAAGCTATTGCGTAGGTTTTATCCCGGGATTTGAGCGCGGCGACCGAATCAATAAATTCCGTAACGAATATAAAACCTAACACCCCACTCCACCTACCATATAGCTCGCGTTCAATACATTTCACACGTTACGCTTGTGTAGTGTTTGTGAATAAGCGCGCGGCGTGACGTCTCACTGCATGCGCATCATGAAAAGTCTGCCCATCTCTCTCTTGCGCGGTCTAGCTTATAAGTGTGAAGGGGACAGTTAATGTTTTGCTTTTGTTAACGTTTATAAATATAGCGTGGTCTTTTTTTTGTTTTAATATTAAATTATTATTGTCTAATTATAATTGCATAATTTGATAAAAAATACTATGCAAGAGCTTTACCGCGGCAGTCCCCGAGTGCAACACGTGTTTTTTTTTATCGATGCAGAGGAAATCATAAACGATTTGCCTGAGGTTATTTCACCTGCGTAAACTTTGTAATTCGAAAATATCGAGACCGGCTATAAAAGTAACCTATAAAGTGTTTTCTTCAGAAACAATATGCCGATTTGCATTTTATTTTAGTGGGTACACGACATAGCCCGACCGTATCTTGTGGAAGTCACAACGTCGACTGTCGCCGTACACTTTAACAGATGAAGTTAGTAAACTCGTTTGTGAAGTGTGAACTGTCTTTTCCTGGAAACCATAATACATGACAGAGATTGGCAGGTCGGTGGTGGACCTTTCCGTGCGGATTCAGTGGAATCACCATCGAAAAATGAAAAATGAACAAATAAATATTCTTATACCTGTAACTTCAGACAAAGAGACCAAATTATTTCCGTCATACGAATACATCTATCTATATATATAAAAATGTATTGCTGTTCGTTAGTCTTTAATTATTTGTGGAAGTCCAGAGAAGGTTTAAAAGGTTAGATAAATATGAAAATGGAAAATGGATCGGAATTAAATAAAAATAACAATTTTGTTTTCCCTTTGATGAGTCCCCCGTCGGACGGATTCCTTTGGTTAGGTTAGGTCTTATATTTATCGATTGAGGCACTAAGAAGTCTGCCGGGTCAGCTAGTATTTAAATAAAAAACAGTACTGTGTTAAGTTAGCGGGATTCTCTCGTGTTCCTGCATAGATTATCACCGCCACCGTTCAAGTCAACAACATTGTTCGCAGTTTGATACTTAATCATCTTGTCTTCGGTGCTCTGTACTCGTTCTTGGAGTATTTCGATTGTACGATTCAATAACTTTATCTCTTCTTGCAATGGATAGATCTGCATGTTCATTTGCATCAGCTCTTTCTCGTGGGCGAGTTGAAGCGTGTGAAGCTGGGGCAGAAAGATTGAAACTCTCGATAATTCAAGTTCTCGTAGTGACGGAATAATCGAAAAGTGTGCTGAACTTTGATGTTATACATACAATTAATGTTTAATCGTCTCCGATGCGAACCCTAAGATGTACGATTAAAAAAAAACCGCAATAACAATAATAAATTATTAACAAAGTATTCCTTCGACGAAGGAATAACAAAATTATGCTCGATTGAAACTGGTTTTCCAGAATTTTAATACATTAATTCTTAAATTTAGAGGGCATTCGTTAACGATTAATAATTACTAAGCGCTCAAGAATGAATCTGTATTTCATAATTGTCTTTTTTTGTGATGTATGAAATATGTAAGTAGGCTGATTTCATTTTTTTTATGATTGAGGAATTACTAGCCGCCCTGAGGCCTTTCCAGTTTCACCAGAACAGATGGGCGAGCAAGGGCTCAGTCAGGAGGAGTGGGATTTGCTAACAGCTACCCGAGCGCCTTCAGAAGAGACCTGATAACTTAGGAGTATCTGCTTCGTGAATGATGAAAGGCTAATTTCATCTTTCTTAGAGATAGCTAAACACTATTAGTGCAGATAGATACCTACATTTCAGAACCTTATGTTACTGGTGTAGGATGTCTTGTCAGTTTGCACGAGTAGGTACCACCACCCTGCCTATAGCCGTTGTAACTATACTGAGACCTTAGAACTCATATATCTCAAGATGGGTGGCGGCGCTTATGCTGTAGATGTCTATGGGCTCCAGTGACCACTTAAAATCAAGTGGGCCGTGAGTGAGCTCGTCCACCCAACTAGGCAATAAAAATAAAATAAGAAAAAGTACCAATATCAGAAATATTCATGGTCGTTGAGCGTCGGACTGTATCTACCACTGATCGATGAGAGACAACAAGAGACACATTTTTATTTTTGATAGAAAACAATTGAGGAGCACTTAGCTTCCAAATCAACTTACATCTTGTATCCTTTTCTTTTTCAAAACTATGAAGTCTTCGTTGGTCCGCTTTAAGGAGTCTAAAAGACTGCTTTTCTCTTGTACGAGCACTTCGTTCTCCTTCCGGACTTCAGTTAATTCAGCCTCCATTTCTGTGTTCATACGTGCCAATATATTCTCGGTAGACTTTCCTTGTTTACCGCTCACTTTTTTGTGTGGATTCAAATTGAGTAAAACTGAAAGGCACAAGGCGGTAAGTTAAAAGTCGTTTATCGAAATTTCGAAGATCTAATAATACTTACCTTCTTTCTCCTTTTGCAGAGTTCGCAGATTCTTTCTTAGCTCTTCCGTCTCTCGATTTATTTTGCCAATAGTACGCTGTTTGGCAGTTAGTTCGACTTGTAATCCTTTAATGGTCGCCACCAAATAACTGTCTTCTTTTAATCTATTCAAGATTAGTGTGGAATTTTGTGATACTCTGCTTACTGCGGACGACGTTCGATCAGGCTTTAGTATCGTTTGCGTACCGATCGTGTGCTGATTTCTTGGTCCCGTTTGAACCGCTACATCAATAAGATTGGTCTTATTTAATCGGTTTCTTGTTTCGTTATTCACTCGACGTTCATCCATGAGTTGTCTTTCGACATCAATGATATGTTTTTCATACTTTTGTTTCATATCTCCAAATTTTTCTTGAAGTGTCATTAAAATACCCTGAAAATGATCCTCTTTATCTTTTAACTCTATTTCTAAACGGGATATACGCTCTTCAAGCAATTTCTTTTTATTATCTTCAACTGTTGACGATTTCGATGCAACTGTAAAATATCATGTATGTTAGATACACTAATGGATTTCCTTATCATGAATAGTCATCAATATCAGTTACATATTTACCTATTTCCGTCTGTGCATGGCTGAAATAGCCCCTTAGGCTAACAGAGAATAGGTAGGGGAAAAACTTACCTATTAGAGCTGATACCGAATCTGGATGTTTCCGTTTCAAAATTAATTCCATTTCTTTAACTTGCCTTTGAAGATCTTGTATAACAATAGCGTCTTTATCACGCTGTACAGTCAAATTCTTCCTGTCGTTTCTTTCTTTATTCAATTCAGCCATTATTTTACCTTCATTCTCCTGTAAGGTTTTCAATTGAGAATTTCTGTTTTCATATTCTTTACCAAGTCTACTAATGAATTTTTCGCATTCTATCAATTTTAAATCAGCTACATGTTTCTCTTCGTTGACTTTATCCAATTTCTTTCGAAGTAATTTATTATCATCTGTTAGCTGTACGTTTGTAAGTTCAAGACTCTTGGCCCTTTCATTTGTATCTTTTAGTTCTTCTAACAAGTTTTCATGTTTACAAACATTCGCTTTCTTAGGTGAATTACTTGAGAATCTCGCAACTTTACCGGCGTCTTTCTTGGAATCAATAACACCAGCTGAGAACGGCCTGGATTTTGATTTACGCCGAGATTCAACGTTTTCTTTAACGTTGTGTTTAGCATATTGGTTGACCTAGAAACATATTTTTAACATATATTTTAATATATATGACGCAGCTTGAATACATCCCAGTCAATTCGACACTAATTACTAACAGTATCGAGGTCGACTATTAGAATGCAAGAAAAGCTATCAACCGTAATGAGTTAAGCTAGATAAATAAATCGTTAAAAACGTATTTACAGTCAACAAAGTTTGTCATCGGAGGTAAATAACTGCAACTTGAGGCAATGACCGGGCATGGCGCCCGCTCAACTTGAGAACAAGTTATCATTCAGGTTCCAAAACAAATAAAAATCGAGTGGAACGATTCGGAAGTTAATTTGCGATATCCGAAGCTTTGGAGCATAAAGACTTTTAATATCATTTCGCAGATTTTGTTGGACAAAGATAATTTTTAATGGACTATTTATTGAGTATATTTTTAGTTGACTCAACTAGTCAGGAACATCCGGTCTTCGTTATTGTATTACTTCCTATGATACTACGATGCATTCCTAAGCTCACTGAATTTATAGTATCGCACTACTAAAAAGATATATCGTGATCTTATTACTAGTGCGATTTCTCAATAATTATTTTATTTTCTATGTTGCTTAGTTATGAATTTAAGTTGATGACAATTTTTTGGCGATAGGTTCAAAGAATGACTTCGTAATTTTGTTCATCAACAAGCATAGTAAATGTAAACCATTGAATACATGATAATCAAAACCTGGATATTTTCTATATCATCACAATTAATAAGTGTATGCCATACGTTTCATTTTGCATTCTTTACACTTATCTTGTCGTCCGAGTTTAATTTCATTGACAGATCCTGAAATCATCGTCTTAACACTACCAGTAAGCTACGGCTTCAAGAGACAGCAGATAGCGCAGTCGTTTAAGTGAAAAAGATAAGTTGAGAGAGCTTAAAAGGCGCAAAACGAGGTGCCCGGTCGCATCATTGAAGCGCGGCTGAGAGGCGGCGGTTCGTCGAAGCCCCCCGAACCAGCTCTGCAGCCAAAACCGAACTTTACGTTCAGTAGCCATGGGATCCAAGAGGCAAACGGTCGTGTTGTTCCTGGCGGCCCTAACTGTCGTTCTCAGCTCACCTCTGATCAATGAACTACAGCCCGGAGAAGGTATGCCGAACTAAATTCGTTTTCATCGATATTTCTAAAGTAAACGTAATTGAATAATTGTTGTTATTTTATCGAATACATGACACGGTCCAGAGAATTTTTTTTAATGAGTCGTCTTATAAAATTGGTTTTGTTTTATCATTTTGTTTCTAATTGTTTATTCAACAAATTTAAAAGCTAAATCAAGTCTGTAAAGCACATTGTCATAAGGTCTTCAAAACTTTAGATTATTCCTTAAAAGTTTTATGATATACATTCGCATGCAGTTTACCCATAATAAAACTCTTTTTTTATCAAGGGCTAATGACATCGTTTTAGGACGGTTTTTCGGTTCTATGTCGTATCATTTACCGTTAAATTTTCGCATTCTAGTGTATGGATACTTTCTCTAATTTTACACAATTATACTTTTTTTATTATTATTTTAGACTTGAAAAACTTATTGTTAGATGCGTTACGGAATGTGAATTAGTATTCAAAACTCAAAATATCAGCCTTTATCTATAATGCGTACAATAATATTAATATAGCGGAAACTCCACAATATTAAATTGAATGCGCCGCTAGAACCGTTACACAAAGATCGGGCTAAGCGCGAGTGGAAAACGAACCTCGGCCAGAGAAAGTCATTTAAACATGTCACACGAAGCACGGGACGAACATTTTAATTATAATTTCTATTTAAAAATTCTTTACGCGTCTTCGCATCCTAAAAAAACAAACGAACATATCCGCTATTGTTCAGTTTCGTTTTTAATTCGTCACAGCGCAACACTTAAATGAGGAGTAGATTGAATCGTTATGACCATTGTGCTATGGTATACTATTGTTCTATGACTGCACAATAAACATCCATGTAACAACAAAAGGTGTTTAATTCGTAATCAAGATTATCCCCGCTATAATAACACATAATTCACGATAATACCTAGTCGTGAAGCAAATATACAATAATATATACGAACCGCATAATTACATTTTGATGATAGAACATCCCTCACGATTCAGTATAATTGCCTTTCAGAATGGCCACAACGCAATTCGGTAAGACAACCGGTAGCTGATGACCAAACAGAACAGACACTGACAGAGGACTTCTCAACTGACGATCCGGCCCCAGCCGCAGTTGTTGAAGATGCAATAATAGTAGCGAAGACAATTGAACGCGATCATGAGCCGAAAAAAATTGATTACTCCGGTTCACAAGTGTGGCAAGTTTCCACTACAAAATCTGGAGCTCGTCAAGTAATCGGAAGACTTCGACGAAGAAACCGTAAGATTGGATTTTTTTTAAAGCTCTTCAATCTGTATATAGGTATATAAAAATGTTTTGCTGTTCGTTAGTCTCGCTAAAACTCGAGAACGGCCGGACCGATTTGGCTAATTTTGGTCTTGAATTATTCGTGGAAGTCCAGAGAAGGTTTAAAAGGTAGATAAATATGAAAATGCTCGGAATAAAATAAAAATAATAATTTTGTTTTTCCTTTTATGTGTCCCCCGTCGGACGGATTCCTTTTGTTTGTTTTAAGTTTATTTTATACAAAAGTTTAGGTGTTTTATTTATCGATTCAGCACTACGAAGTCTGCCGGGTCAGCTAGTCGTGTCATAAAATAAATAGCTTTAACAAATTTAACATTACAGTGATTTCTACATGGGGCGGGAATCAGTCTTCTGTGGACATCCTTATCAAACCGAATGTCGTAGAAAATATTACACGTGTTTTCAAAAGAGAGAGCATAGACTACAACGTCGTGATAGAAGATTTACAAAAGAGGATCAATGAGGAAAATCCGCCGCTAGATAACGATGAAATTGAACTGCAAGACAGACGAGGTTAGTTCTATACTTTAAGAAGAAAGGACAGTGTTCTCTAGTAATATTCCAAGAGCTACGTTTTTTTCCAGCGAGAGCTCACAATTTTTGGCGTTACAGGGCACCTAATCAACGTTTAGGTTTATTTAGCGCTTATATGGGCTACAATTCACTGAACATACCAATGGAATATTGGCCGAATGCAAATTGGGGTTCGTTGTTGAAAATCGGCACAAAATTTGGATTGCAATGCACGTTTTCGTCTGTTCTAATATTCTCCTTTGGTTCTGTTAGCGTGATTTTAACATCGATTGTGTGATTGTGAATGCTAACACGGCGTTACCATTATTGTGAATAACTGTTTTTTTTTTCAATTTGACTCTGTCTAATTTGGATACACTCAGCTCGACGACTGACGCAAAAGTTTCGCGTCAGCAATTTTAATTGAACACATGAGTGGATGAAGGGGATATGATACAATTTATTAATTTTGAAAATACGGGCAATAAGCTTTTGTTGCTTGTACTTTTTCTTCGCACATAGCTCCTTCATCACATGCAATTTCTAAAAATTGCCTTTAAACCCGGAGTTTTAAGGTCTAATGTGGTTTATAGGCACAATAACACCTTCATTCAATTTAAAACTCAAAAATCTAAAAAAAATTACTTATCCCCTTCATCCACTCATGTCTTCAATTGTAACTTATCACTGCAGGTCACCGAATGACATGGAAACAGTATCACAGATTAGAAGACATTTACGGCTTTATGGATTACTTGGCAAAAACCTATCCTTCTATCATCAGCGTGAAATCAATAGGAAAATCATTTGAAGGTCGAGATCTTAAGGTAAATTCGATCCTTCCTGTATGCATCTTGAATATGTAGTTAACATCGGAAATAAACTGTACTGTTTCATTATTTAGTTAATTGACAATGACTACTAAAACGGAATTCGTTGACATCTATAAATGAGTGTTGTTTAGTTAAAGATTTTCTTTAAATGAACACTAAGAGTTCTTAATATTTATATAGTTTTTTTTTATTGCCCTTGTAGGCAGACGAGCATACGGCCCACCTGAAGGTGAGTGGTTACCGTCGCTCATGGACATCAGCAGTGCCAGGGACAGAGTCAAGCGGCTGCCTACAGTTTAATAACCACGCTGCCTATTTCTGCCGCGAAGCAGTAATGCGTTTCGGTTTGAAGGGTGGGGTAACCGTTGTAACCATACTTGAGACCTTAGAACTTATATCTCAAGGTGGGTGGCGCATTTACGGTTTAGATGTCTATGGGCTCCAGTAACCACTTAACACAAGGTGGGCTGTGAGCTCGTACACCCATCTAAGCAATAAAAAATCTCAAGCTGCATACAGTTTCATACTATAACAAACTTTTAATCAATGATTAAAGTTGATCTCTGTCGTTCTATACCAGATACTCCGCATATCAAACGGTAAATCAGACAACAAAGCCGTGTTCATCGACGGCGGTATCCACGCTCGTGAATGGATAAGTCCCGCAACCGTCACTTACTTTATCTACCAGTTTGCTGAGTATTTCGATGTGGAATCTGACGATATTAAGGGCATCGACTGGTAAGAATAGAATTAGTACTTAATTGTCTTATTTAAAATTACTTTTACGGTTTAATCTCGCAATTTTTTTTAGTCATTTTAATAAGAGATTAAACCGTAAAAGTATTTTTAATTATGTAAAATACTATTAATTTTCTTAATGATTGAGTCATTGTCTTAGTCCCGGGACTTGGGGGGTGTGTCCAGTAGTGAACGTCTGTAGACTGAAAAACTATTAGTTTATTCTGTAGATGGATAATCGAGCTCATGGCTCCGATATTATCTTGTGGTAACCAATGCCTAGATATTGTATGGCGGTTGTCACCGCCCTTCAAATCGGAATGAATGAATGTTTCACATGACTGGATGACTGTTTCGTGGCATAAATAAAGAGAATAATGGTACCCCTGTGGGTTTCCAAAGCGCCCTACAGTAACTAAGTCAGGGGTTCCCAAACTTATTTTGTCTACTGCCCAGTTTGAGGATAAATTATTTTTAAGCGCCCCCATTTTTTCACCTATTTAAAAACTACTATAGCGAGAGCTCAGTCGGTGTCTAAGAGTCCTCTCCTCTAGCTGAAATTACAAATCGCGTCCCAAGCCTCTACACAACACCCCCATTTCTTTTTTGGCTCTTACCCCTTTGGGCCTGCAGCGTGAACAAGGGGGCGTTATCGCCCACTTTGGGAAAGGCTGCACTAAGTGATGGTCGGCGTCCGCAGTACGCTTATATATAACTAACGCAAATGCCCACTGTGCAGTAAATACCTTTACCGCTTATACCATACCAGTTTTTAATAAGCCTTATGTTAATTCAAAAACGCATTTTATAATTTTCAAAATAAGGCCTACAAAGTTGTATACCAGAGAATCTTACATGAACTGTCATGTTGTGAACACGAACGTTTAGATGATACGACCACGGCCTTCTAGGACCACTATTAACTTCCTGCATTACTTCCTTCCTTCATTAGTATTCCCCTCATCTTCTATTCCTCTACTCACATTTACTAATTAATTCCTGTCGTAAATAATGATGATAGAACGTTTTAGAACACACACAGTTTGACATCATTATCGTGCCTATTCCAATGTGAAGTAAGCGGGCTTGTTCTTGTCTAACCAGCGGGATAGATGAAGGTCTATGGATAGATGTCATTAAAATTGGACTTTTGAAAGATTATATCAAAAATTAATTCACATTATGGCTCCTATAACCATTTATATCAACTAGTATTTATGTTTTGATAATGTTAACGTATTCTGCTAAAAATCAAGACAACACTACAGGTATTTCATGCCGGTCGTGAATCCAGATGGATACGAGTATACACATACCGTGGATCGTCTTTGGAGGAAGAACAGAAAGCCTGGTTACCGTGCTTGCACTGGTACTGATCTCAACAGAAACTTTGGGTAGGTGGTTATAGAAGTTAAGTACTTTATCAATTTAAAATACTTTTTTTTTGCAAGTCGGATCGGGGGTTTTCCTTACCAAATGTCTAAAATATAGTCCTAAATTTAATTCCATATTTGTTTAAGGGCAACCTTCCTTCGAATTCAAAACAAGATTAAATTCGCACATACTATAGCACTTATGTAATTAATTATGATCTTTTTTCATTCATCTTTTTTTTTGTTTATAGACATCATTGGGGAGGCAAAGGCGCATCAAACAGTCCGTGCAGTGAAATATATCGTGGAAGTAATGCCTTTTCAGAACCAGAAACGTTAGCTTTATCTGTAAGTGTAATCTATAGTAGTAGTAAACTTTAGTTGATTGGGCCAAAAGCACCACTTGGTGGAAGATCTTCCTGTGTAGGGTTAGATATAGAATAGACTTTTTTCTAATATTGTACTTCCATTTTGCAGGAATTTATAAAATCAAGCGCGGCTAACTTCTCCGCATATGTTACATACCATAGCTATGGTCAATACATGCTTTATCCATGGGGATATGATAATGCAGTGCCTCCAGACTACAAGGATTTAGATAATCTTGGAAAAAAGATGGCAGAGGTAAGTCCTAGTATCACATTATTGTATATCAATATTATATATCAATAATATGAGAATAATAATAGATGGGTTTAACTTAAATAATAATCCATATACAATAAATTTAGATAGCTGTTTTTAAGAGCATAAAATACCTAAAACGATACTATAGAAGATACGTGGGTGGTGGCTTTTTTTACTTGCAAATTTATCATCATTACAATATTATTTTTATATTATTTACTAAACATTAAACATCAATCATAAATCATGATATTCACAAATCTATTTTAATTGAAGCAGATGTTTTACTGGTGGTAGGACCTCTTGAGAGTCGGCGCGGGTAGGTACCACCGCCCTGCCTATTTTTACCGTGAAGCAGTAATGCATTTCGGTTTGAAGGGTGGGGCAGCTGTTGTAACTATACTGAGATCTTAGAACTTATATCTCAAGGTGGGTGGCGCATTTACGTTGTAGATGTCTATGGGCTCCAGTAACAACTTAACACCAGGTGGGCTGTGAGCTCATCCACCCATCTAAGTGATAAATATATATATAATACTATTCATATAATGACACTTTATATTTCAGGCAATCTCAAAGACCGGTGGTTCTCAATATCAAGTCGGTTCATCTAGTGGTCTCCTTTACCCTGCAGCAGGTGGCTCAGATGACTGGGCGAAATCACAAGGAATCAAATACTCTTACACTATTGAACTTAGTGACACAGGACGTTATGGTTTTGTTCTACCTACATCGTTCATTGTACCCGTTGCTAAGGAAAATTTAGCTGGCTTGAGGGTTCTTGCTAGCCAAGTTATCAAGGAATAATTTAATATTGCCATTGAGTAGATAGTACTGCATTTATGAATATAATCATAGGATTGATGCATTTATTTTTATAATTAATTAATTATGTGCATATTTATATTATATCTTAATAAATTCTACTTTCACAAATGTATTTGTTTTTTTTAATTGTCTTTAATTGTCGCTATGGTAATAAACCTGAACACAAAAATGGAAATTATTTTATTTTTAACTAGCTGACCCGGCAGACTTTGTAGTGCCTCAATCGATAAATAAAAGACCTATTTTTTTGTATAAAATAAACTTAAAACAAACAAAAGGAATCCGTCCGACGCGACGGGGGACACATCAAAGTAAAATTTGTTTTTTTTAATTAATATTGTAATTTTTATTTAATTCCGAGCATTTTTATATTTATCTACCTTTTAAACCATCTCTGGACTTCCACAAATAATTCAAGACCAAAATTAGCCAAATCGGTCCAGCCGTTCTCGAATTTTAACAAGACTAACGAACAGCAATTCATTTTTATATATATAGATAAAAGGGATATTATCTTATTTAGCATCGAACGGCTGTATGCCATGAACTAGCATTACTGTTAGTTCAAATTAGCTTATTTGCTTTTCTTGGAATTAATGCACAGACATTACAGAACAATGCTATTTTAACCTAGTAACCCTAACTTATTTTCAAAGTTTAGGTTACTAACTACATTTACCTTATTTTGTGATGGTTTTCCTATTTCTTGACTATTTTCAGTTGGTTTGGTTACCAGTATTTCTGGTATTGCTGACGGTTCACTTTTCTCCGGTGTTAGTTTATGAATTTTAGCGGCAACTGGGCTATTTTTCAGAAGATTTTCCGTCTCCAAGGCTATATCTTCCGCTCTTTTTAAAATTAACTCTACGTCGTCCACGTCACCTTCTAATAGTTTTTCTTCAGTTTTCCCACCAGATAGCTTATTAATTTCACTAAGTATCATTTTAATTTCTTCGTCACTATCTTTAAAAGCTTCACAAGTCTTTTCGATATGTAAAAATTCTCTTGTAGACAAACTATTATCGTTCGATGGTAGGTCTTGATTTTGTGCCATTAAACTCTTCGCCATTGTAAATTGATATCTCTTAATTTACAATTTTCTCAATCTTATCAGCGTACTGTATTACTCACTGGTAAATAAAACTCACTGGCAACAGAAAATAAGCTAACCTTCCCTGAAGTCCTATTTTCAATCAAACTATCAAACCAATTTCAGTTGCTTAGCAACGGACGGACTCTAATTTTTACTATAATTGCCTGATTGGCCCTGGCTCTGAGTTTTTAAACTATGATATTACAACTAAGCCATGTTAGGCTTGTTATACCAGCTAGTACAGAAAATATTGGCCGCACATAATCTAAATAGAGTAAGTCGTCAAACAGGCGCATGTTTTAAAACTTATGCCAAATTCCAATAATGTTCCCAATCAATCAACTTAATTTCATTTCACTTTCACTCACACACCCACAAAAAACGATAAGCGTGTATGCTATGTTACTTTTGCCTTTCCAGTTTTTGAAAATTTTTGACAATGACAGTCTTAACAATATGTCATAAGTTAGCTTTTCGTAAAATTTAAGAAAAGGCTATTTTTGCAAAAATAGTGTTTTCTAAAAAAACCTTAACTTCATATTTTCCTTAAAAATGTCTGTACCACCACAAGCATTTGTAAACAAAAACAAAAAGCATTTCTTAGGCATTCCCGCACCGCTAGGTTATGTCGCTGGTGTAGGAAGAGGGTGCGTATCTTCAAATATAAAATAAACAAGTGTATTCAAGCTCAAATATAATTGTATTAATAATTATTTCAGAGCTACTGGTTTCACGACTCGATCTGATATTGGTCCTGCAAGAGACGCTAACGATGTGTCGTAAGTATTTAAAAAAATATATTTAATAATATTTAATAGAACTTATCAACATCAAAAGATGAAGCCTGATAGAAGAACTTATGAATCTTCTCTCAATCTTATGAATGAAGATCTTATGATATTTACTCGGTATTAAAGACAAAGTTTAGGAGAAAAAAAATACGTATGTATCCTTTCTATTGACAAAAAAGGTAAATTGAAGAACATTCGACCTTCCTGTGTTTTTGTTTTTTATTGCTTAGACAGCACAGTGGTGGCTTTAAAGATTCCCTACTACCAGTATTTATAAAAATTATAATTTTTGCTAGTTTTATTTTTGTTACATGTTGTGGAAGTCATTCATGAATATGAGTTAAATACGCTCATTAGAAAAATTAATGGCACAGGCATCTGTGGGATTCAATTACCGGCATAGTCGCAGCTTTTGATACAAACACACAGGGCGTTTTATCTTTTAAGCTGCTGTGACTTCAAACTTAATTTTGACATGATATTGCTTCAAAGTTGTAAGAATAAATTTAATTTGTTATAAATGAAAAATATATTGCCTTTTTATATTTATTTTCCTATTTTAGTGATGATCGTCATGCACCACCAGCTGCAAAACGTAAGAAAACAGAAGACGAAGATGATGATGAAGACTTAAATGATTCTAACTATGATGAGTTCTCAGGATATAGTGGATCTCTGTTTTCTAAGGTATTTTATTTAACTAGTTTAGACAGTTGAACTGATGTGAGCCTCGACATAAGGATTTGACAAAACTTTAGATACCAGTATGACCTCCCTGAGACATGCTGTGTATGTTTTGCATCATGCTATGCAATCTTAACTTGAACTTGTTGTTTTGTAAGGCAGAACCATAGTACAAACTTGTTGTATTAAGATTACAATATAACAGTAAAAAAAAATATGCTAAGAGTATAGTATTTACTTTTCTGAGTTAATTAATTCTTAAATAATGTAAAGAAAGTGTAAAAAATATCCTGACCAGTTTTCTTACATTTGTAACTTTTGTTACATAACTTTTAAAACTTTGTATAGAAATTTGACACCATTAGTAACTAAACTACATCAACAGTATTGTGGCTTTTCCATCTGACAATAAGACAAAGCAAGGACAATAAGACACATCTATTGTGTTATATGTATGAGAAGATCTCAATCTATGACTTTTGAAATTCCAATGATTTGGACGGAACCAATGAACCACTTATTTTATTGTTATTTTTGTCTTACTTGTGCAGAAAATATTAATTAAAACCAAAAAGTCGAACTATGTATCCTAAAAGTATTCTAAAATTAAGCAATATGCTAAAAGATGGATCCCTCATGGTGTAGAACTGTACCATGACCACCCCAAAGCTATGATCTGTCTGCTATGCTAAAAGCAATGAAAACTTTCGAGAAGATTCCTAATCTAATGAGCCATATCCACTATCTCAAGGAAATTTAATTGATTTGATACGGCCCTGAAATCAGGCAATTGAAGAAAGATGAAATATTTAAAGAAAACCTTGAGATTTAGAGAAATCAGCTTTAGAATGTTTTATATAGTAACTGATCGAGTGACTATAAGAATGTTGTTGCGGTGCTATTATTTACTTATTAGGCGTTAGGCTATAAGATGTCACTGAAAATATATTTTGTACATTCACAAATGTAGTTCTTTCATGAAAATTTTGTGCTCTATTAGCAATGAACATGTTAACAGATTCCACCAAAAAATTCTACTATAGAAAAACAATATTAAGGTAAAGTCCACACATGTTAGCAGGCTACTGTTGGAAATTGAATCACAGTCTGGGTTTTCAGTTGCTGTAACACCATCCAAGACAAAACCACCATAAATTTAATGATTTTTTATCCATGGATGTTCAGCAAAAGGATTAAACAAACAAATCCTACAATATTTGCTAATTCTTCACTTTCTGAGATTATTCCAATACACCTTGTATTGTTTACTTAAGTGTAGATCATAATATTAAACAATGTAAACTTTATTATTAGGATCCTTATGACAAAGACGATGCAGAGGCAGATGCAATCTATGAGTCCATTGACAAGAGGATGGATGAGAAGAGGAAGGAGTATAGAGAAAAAAGACTTAAAGAAGACTTGGAAAGATATCGACAGGAGAGGTTATTTTACTTTTGAAGATTATTAACCGTAATTTTAGCTTAGTTAAAGCGGAATTTCAAATCAACTGCAGAAGGTGTTCATGTAAAATACCAATATTTTTATTAAACCACCAGTCAAACTTGGACCGTTTTGCTGGCTGATCTATGATTTGACTTTGATATTATTGCTACTAAATTTTACAGGATAATTCACTAGGCCAATGAATATTTAGTGAAAATTTCATGGGAAATAGGGAATACATGTATATATATCCCCTGTCCCACAAAGCGTATCTCAAGCCAAAACGTGGTTATAGTAAAAACGATATAGATCAAATTAAAAATGTAGTGTAAAAAAAACTAAGTCGCAATTAGTAGCCTCTTATAAAAACTTTAAAAAACTTTTTTTTTATTGCTTAAATGGATGTACGAGTTCACAGTCCACCTGGTGTTAAGTGGTTACTGGAGACCATATACATCTACAACGTAAATGCGCCACCCACCTTGAGATATAAGTTATAAGGTCTCAGTATAGTTACAACGCTACCCCACCCTTCAAGCCGAATCGCATTACTGCTTCACGGCCGAAATAGGCAGGGCGGTGCTACCTACCCGTGCGGACTCACAAGAGGTCCTACCACCAGTAAATTAAAACACCCATTCCGTGTATTGCATGCACTGATTATAATTACATTTATCAAACAATATAATACATGAGATACATTTAAGAACAATAAGAAATAGAACTTAAAAATACACAATATTTATCTTAACAATAATATTACAGGCCAAAAATTCAACAGCAATTCTCTGACTTGAAACGTGAACTAAAAACAGTTTCTGAAGATGAATGGGCGGCGATCCCCGAAGTAGGCGATGCTCGTAATAGGAAACAGCGCAACCCTCGCGCCGAGAAGTTTACGCCGTTACCAGACAGCGTCTTGTCTAGGAACTTGGGTGGAGAATCGTCGTCTTCAATCGATCCAGGGTCAGGACTAGCGTCTATGATGCCTGGTGTTGTGACTCCAGGGATGTTGACACCATCAGGTAGTTTTAGACGAATTTAATGCAAGAAACTTTGGAACACAAAGAGTCCAAATATTACATATCATATCCCTAAAACAGTCAGTTCTAAAATCAAATCAAATGTAGAAAATGTAATTTGAAATTAGTCAAGGACCATTTGGTTACTTTCTCAGCATATGAATTAATAAGAAATCTTCGGATATCAAAATTCTGATTACTTTTTGTTTACAGGTGACCTTGATTTAAGAAAGATCGGTCAAGCCAGAAATACGCTTATGACAGTAAAACTCTCACAAGTGTCAGACTCTGTGACAGGTCAAACGGTAGTTGACCCCAAAGGCTATCTGACGGATTTACAGTCAATGATACCAACTTATGGTGGTGATATTAATGACATCAAGAAAGCTAGACTGTTATTGAAATCTGTACGTGAGACAAATCCTAATCATCCACCCGCTTGGATTGCGAGTGCTCGACTAGAGGAAGTAACAGGTTTGTAAAATAATTAAAGTTCTACACGGGAAGTAAGGGGACCACTTTACCGGCAAATTTTTTACTGGTGGTGGGACCTCTTGTGAGTCCGCACGGGTAGGTACCACCACCCTACCTATTTCTGCCGTGAAGCAGTAATGCGTTTCGATTTGAAGAGTGGGGTAACCGTTGTAACTATACTTGAGACCTTAGAACTTATATCTCAAGGTGGGTGGCGCATTTACGTTGTAGATGTCTATGGACTCCAGTAACCATTTAATACCAGTAGTCTGAGAGCTCATCCACCCATCTAAGCAATAAAAAAAAAAATATTGTCGAGCAGTTATTGCTGCTGTGTCATACTATTAGTAAAAAACCAATCACCAAAGCACTATTATAATATATGTTTTTAAGAACAGTCACAATTTTGTACACCAAATCAAATCAGATGTAGACACAGTTCTATTTATAACATCATACTCAAATTTTGATGAATAACGTCACATACATTAAATATCTGGACGAAACCCTTGTGATTTGAGAAAGTACTAATTATAGTTAATTTTATGAACACAGGTAAAGTACAGACAGCACGTAATCTCATAATGAAGGGATGTGAAGTCAATCCGAGCAGTGAAGAGCTATGGCTAGAGGCAGCTCGCTTGCAACCAATAGACACGGCTCGTGCGGTCATAGCTCACGCTGCGAGGAACCTGCCTCACAGTGTCAGGATTTGGGTCAAAGCGGCTGACTTAGAACAAGAGGCAAAGGTAATTATACTATGACACAAATTTTATTGATTTCTCTAAAACAATATGCCGAACTTCCCTTGTTGAAAATCTGAAAATATCATATTCAAATTAAAGAATTATACTGGACTATTATTATTATACCCACTAAGCATGTATTGGATCAAATCAATAACTATTACTTGGACTCAAGTGTTTACTTGATTATAGAACTTAAGGCACCCATGCAATTATGTAGCTGACCATAAATTGGACAAGAAAATTTATGTAGTTTTATATATATATACATATTATTATGTTTAAGTAATATCACTATCACACTACATCTACCAAGTTTCATCTCTGCACCCCCCTAAGGTAGACTGTCAGAGAATGCCTATGGCATTAAGTCCGCCTTTATGCTGTCTACTACTGTCTAATATATAAAGTTATAAGTAAATAAATAATATAAAATTCACTATTGACCAACATTGGTTTGCAGGCGAAACGTCGTGTGTTCCGCAAAGCCTTAGAGCACATTCCGAATTCGGTGCGTCTGTGGAAGGCGGCCGTCGAACTCGAGAATCCGGAAGACGCCCGGATCCTGCTGTCTCGCGCCGTGGAGTGCTGTCCCACCAGCGTCGAGCTGTGGCTGGCTCTGGCGAGACTGGAGAGCTACGAGAACGCAAGGAAGGTGCTGAACAAGGCAAGAGAGAACATCCCTACAGACCGACAGATCTGGGTCACGGCGGCTAAACTCGAAGAAGCGCACGGTCAGTGAAGCTTACTACATAATATCATATCACGAGGGTTGAAAGGTTATCTGGTTTAAGCGACTTTTAGCAAATATACAGGAGCCATTGTAATGTTTCAAATTTGGAGAAAATTTCATAACAAAAAAGCTTCAGCTGTTTGAATGAGGTAAACTTAATTGAAGTTTAGTTAAGAACATCGTATTGTTGATTCTAATACCAAATAAATAGGACCTTTAATTACAAAGATAAATGTCGCGTATTAAGCGAAATGTTGCTTAAACCAAATAGCTTTTCACCTCTCGATATACATACTAACAGTAATAACAAACAAATAAAAGTAGCACCATTCTTTCTGCTTAATAATACTAATGTCATCACCTGAGAAAATTTATAAATTTACATTAATAAAGCCACCAGTTTTAATGATTTATAAGCCCCCATCAAAATTATAATTAAATAGTAATTAAATAATTTGACATTGTAACAGAAAAAAAATCCAAAATTTCACTGGCAATTTTAACTATATTGCTTAAAATTTTCAAACAGGCAACACTCACATGGTAGAAAAAATTATTGATCGTGCGATAACGTCGCTGAGCGCCAACGGGGTTGAGATCAACCGCGAACATTGGTTCAAAGAAGCCATAGAAGCTGAAAAGTCTGGCGCTGTTTCAACTTGCCAGGTGACTTATGCCTTAATAATACGATGCTGTCCATGAGCCACGATAACGTTTAGGTCAATTGTAGTGTCTCTGTTATCATATATCTCAATATTGTATGTATTTATGTTATAGTTTTAAATATTCTAACATAATTTTAAGTTGTACTAACATCTATGAGTTCTGGTCACTTGCAATCAATATGTAATATTATTAATTATTTTTTTTATCTTTTCAATTTAAAATTTTATTTTTATTGTTCAATGTAACAAGTTGTTGCTGCTGAAATAATTTTTACTTATGTCAACAATCTTAACAAATCAAAATTAATATTATATTTCAATTCTAATAATTATATGTATGCACTTACTTGTACATAGAACATTAGTAATATTAGTAAAGTACGCTTTTAAAATTAAATACATTTATAATAGCAAACGTGCAACCCTCCCTGCCGTCAAACACTAATGGTTTCCGCGTTGAAATGTGAACCATTGCAGTTGACACTTAGACCTCATATCTCAAAGTAATGATGTCAATGGACTCCAGGGAGCACATAACACCAGGTAGGTCATGATCTCATTGACATGTGAATGCTAGAAAAAGCAATTTCTTAAAATCTCCGAAACTATAGTTAATCTGGTCATCCGATATGACAGGCAATCATCCGTGCGGTCATCGGTCACGGAATTGAACCCGAAGATCAGAAGCACACTTGGATGGAAGACGCTGAAGCTGTGAGTATTTCTTATCCATAAGAAAAATAAATTGAAACTGATGTACATAATTTTTTGTTAGTCTACAATCTATATTGTCATAGGCAGGGCATTGTGCCCTTACTTTTTGGCGGGAACGCGAAAAGTGAAGTTGTGTGATTTGTTTTATTTTGTCTATTTAGTGTTTCTTCAGGTTTAAATGTGTAATAACGGTGGCTTATTAACTGTTTAATATCTGTGAAAGTGCACAAATGTGGGAAAATGAAACAAAGCCGCTGGACGTAACTTCTCGGGATCCTCCAAAAACTCCACTGAAAAAATCTCAGTAAATGACCACCATTTTACTAAGATTATATTTCATCCCATATGATCTCATTTCATTTAATTTCAGTCCATATTATCATTTTTCATAAAAATAAGAATATTAATTAAAATAGGACATGACTTAAAAGTCTTAGTTACCAGGTCATAAAATCGCTTAAAAAAAACGAACTCGCGCGCCTACTGTACACCGGACGGCCGTTAGGTGTCAATGGTAGTTTTCCAATAACAGCACTAGAGCGCATTATGTGGCATAATGCTCAACGAAGAATGTTCCAATTACAGCAACGCTTCACACAATCGAGCACTCTCAAAAGTACTGCTCTCGCGTGATACTCGCAATCGATACCAACTCAGTGACAGACCTCAGAAAACTTTTATTGTTGAAAAAATTTGTAAGGCTTTCGTGTCGTCGTAGTTTCGTTGGAAATAATCAAAGTTAATTCAAACTGTGCTAAAAAAATAATTTAAGTATGGATGAAGGTACAAACAATTACTTTTTTTTTTTATATTCCACATTTAAAATGTGAATACAATTTCATTTTAGAATTCGAATCTGTACACAAATTTATTTTACAGGTATGTTTATTTTTGTAAACATTGCAATGATCATCATGAACTTAGCGCACTCTGCTGATGCATTTGAAAACTAATTCACGTTCCAATTAAGCTTCAGCATAATTCGGCATTGTGTGCCACTGAGTCGCATTGTGCTCTGTAATTGGAAAAATACTACTGTATGCGCGCGAGTTCATGTCCATCGGGGCCAGAGGCGATGCGCGGGGGATAGCTCGCCCCACCTTCGCCCGCCTCCCCGCATTTGTCTGACGTCGAGTGTTGTTCTGACGGTTGTGACGCGCGCTTATCGATGTCATAATTTAAGCTAATGCTATTATTGCCTGGCCACGGGGATCGGCGGTGCGAACGACGAAGCGGCGGATGAGGCGACCATTCGCGCGGCACCGTTTGCAGGCCACAGGTAGTGACGTTCGCCGCCGGGACTAGCAAGGAAGTCCGACAGCGAAATATCTATATCGAAATTATCTCGATATTGCTTAGAAAATAATAGTTTTTTTGTTCAAGACCTACTCGGCAGAGATTGCGGAGTACATGATTTGAATAAGAATCGGAGTATAGATGTAGAATTCCACAAGAAGCACGAGAAATACAGAATGTATCCAGAAATTTTTTGGCTGGATTTGGGTGGCTAGACTTCCAAATAGCTGATCTAGCTAGTATTTCAGCAAGAAAAATTTAGGTGTTCATTTTTCGCGGCGAAAACAACTAAACTCATTTAATCACTGCACTATTCGCCGCGACTACCGCTCGACTTCGTGGCTCGCGCCGTCCTTATTCATGCGTTTGCTTTGCTCGCCCGCCGGGTCGCAAGTCGCCCGCGCGATTCGCTCGGTACATTTCGCCGGTCGCCGTTGCGCGTGGCTTGATAAGTACATTACTATGTGTTTATTTTAGTCGCTAGACGCTTCGCCGTTCGCACCGCGCAAATATTAGTATCTGCGAATGTCCCGTGGCCAGACTGTTATGTCATTTAACCATGACTACTCCGCTTCTAACAAGTTCAGATAGAAAAAAACCTACAGAAAAAAGATACATACTGACTTCGACTCTGATCTGTCGGTTGTCTTTTCATTTGATAGTGATTGAATAAAAATTTAAAGAATATTTTTCTCTATTAGAAATAAACAAGTAATTAGTTATCACATTTATTTGATTTCATAAATTGCAAAATTACCTTAAGTTACATTAAACCAAATTGACAGCTATTGACTAAATCGGTAGTTATTATCGACATTACCATAATTAACTAGGTCACAGCACTACCGCATTCCTCAGGATGGACATGAACTCGCGCGCCTACAGTAATGTGTTTAATAAGTGTTATTGTTTGTGTAGTGCGCCACTGAGGGCGCGTTCGAGTGCGCCCGCGCCGTGTACGGGTACGCGCTGTCCGTGTTCCCGTCCAAGAAGTCTATCTGGCTTCGCGCCGCCTACCTGGAGAAGCAGCACGGGACTCGCGCCAGCCTCGAGACGCTGCTGCAGCGGGCCGTCGCGCACTGTCCCAAGTCGGAGGTGCTGTGGCTCATGGGCGCCAAGTCCAAGTGGCTCGCAGGTCAGAAACGATTTATCGATCCGTTCGTTCCTTCCAGTGACACGTTAGCAAGTCGTCGTAGCCTAAAAGATAAGACGTCCGGTGCATTCGTATGTAGCGATGCACCGGTGTTCGAATCCCGCTGGCGAGTACCAATTTTTTAATGAAAGACTTACATAAGAAATCTTCACGATTGACTTGCACGGTGAAGAAATAACATCGTGTAATTACTGATGGTAGGACCTCTTGTGAGTCCGCGCGGGTAGGTATCACCACCCCGTCTATTTCTGCCGTGAAGCAGAAATGCGTTTCGGTTTGTAGGGTGGGACAGCCGTTGTAACTAACTATACTGAGATCTTAGAACTCAAATCTCAAGGTGGGTGGCGGCGTTTACGTTGTAGATGTCTATGAGCCATACTTAGTATATATAGTAACCATACTTAACACCAAGTGGGCTGTGAGCTCGTCCACCTACCTAAGCAATAAAAAATAAAAACGTAAAGATGAATGTTACCCATCAACTGCCCAGATTTGCTAAGCTCTGTAAGGGCAGTTTGATACGTTTGTACATTTTGAGAGCACTCACACAAAATTGAGTTACCGACCAACTTTCGAATTATTTTTCAGTTCAATTTGATTTATTTATTGCTTTTTTGGGCAGTCGAACGTGCGGTCCACTACAATGGTTGCCCATAGACACCAGCAATGCCAGACCACAGCCAAGTTGCCATCAACAAAAAATGTCAAAGGTTCATTTCTCAAAATTCAAAAATAGCAATAACTATAGGCTACTATATAGAAATACGTTTAAATATATTAAACACCCAAATAAAGAGCTTTTTTTTATTGCTTAGATGGGTGGACGAGCTCATAGCCCACCTGGTGCTAAGTGGTTACTGGAGCCTATAGACGTCTACAACGTGAATCTGCCACCCACCTTGAGATATAAGTTCTAAGGTCTCAAGTTTAGTTACTACGGCTGCCCCACCCTTCAAACCGAAACGCATTACTGCTTCCCGTCAGAAACAGGCAGGGTGGTGCTACCTACCCGTGCGGACTCACGAGAGGTCCTACCATCAGCATACAAACTTGTTTATAACACGAATGTTTGCTCGATATTGGAATCGTCGCCACGACCCTTAGCAGTTCGGGTCGCTAACCACAGCACCACCGAGTGGGTATATTTGAATAAACCAAATCATTAATTTTTCGTTTAGGCGACGTACCAGCGGCCCGGGGTATCCTGTCGCTGGCCTTCCAGGCCAATCCCAACTCTGAAGAGATCTGGTTGGCCGCCGTCAAACTGGAGAGCGAGAACAAAGAGTACGACAGAGCGAGACGGCTGCTGGCTAAAGCTAGGGCTTCAGCTCCCACACCGAGAGTAAGTTTTTTTTTTTCCTATCTATGCTGATAGCCTTGAGAGGCTAATTCAGCTTCACCCTAGCGTTTAGGGGCTCAAACCGGAGGTGTTGCTAACACTGGCCCTAGCAAGAGCAGTGCTTCACAGAATCTACCGCCGCATCGGAATCGCGATTCACTGAGAAGAACCGGTGAGAAACTCAGTGGGCTAGTGTAAGTTAAATCAACATTAATATTGTAAGATTGGTTTGTTTGTACTCTATAATAAGGAGACCCACTCTAGGGAGGTCATAGGGTCCTCCCCCCCGGCCGACTTGTGGCGTTTAGCTCTTTTTTAACAGAGTTATATCTTAATGTCTTTTGACGTCGATGTTTTCGGTGTAAGAACCGATTTTAATGGTTTTGTTGTTGTTGTTTAGATGCGATAATTGATAACAGAAATAAACATTTCTGAAGATGTTTATTTTAAAACATTTACTTGTAGGGGTTCTTGTGAGGCTGCACGTGGAAATACCACCGCCCTGTCTATTTCTGCCGTTAAACAGTAACGCGTTTCGGTTTGAAGAAAGAGGCAATGGATGTACTATAAAAATTGATATAGAATAAGCTTGTCTACACGTCGAAGCGATAAAATAAAACTATTTCTATTTATTTACTTTTTTTAGGTGATGATCAAATCAGCGAAACTAGAATGGGCATTGAACAATCTGGACGTAGCCATAAAGTTACTGGACGAAGCGATCAAAGTGTTCGGGGACTACGCTAAGCTTCACATGATGAAGGGACAGATTGAGGAACAAATGGCCAAAGACGAAGACGCTCACAACACATATAGTCAAGGAGTGCGTATAATCTTTAATATCTATAATCTAAATAATCTTTTTTTGTTATGATTGAACTTGTATTAGTATCAATAATGCGATGTTTTAATTGGACTCCCAACTTTACTGGTGGTAGAACCTCTTGTGAGTCCGCACGGGTAGGTACCACCGCTTTGCCTATTTCTACCGTAAAGCAGTAATGCGTTTCGGTTTGAAGGGTGAGGCAGCCGTCGTAACTATATTACACCTTAGAACTTATATCTCAAGGTGGGTGGCGCATTTACGTTGTAGATGTCTATGGGCTCCAGTAACCACTTAACATCAAGTGGACTGTGAGCTCGTCCACCCACCTAAGCAATAAAATAAAATAAAATAAATAAGTTCACTCCATTAAAGTAACTGAAGAAGCTTTATGTTACGATATTTTTCCCAAATTTTAAACTGCAAATAGCTCAAATCTAAAGTGGCAAAAATATCGCTTAAACGAAATAGCTTTTCACCCCTCGAATTATAAAGACAAAAAACAATCACTAAATGAAACCATAAAATACTCGCGAAAATCTAACGAAATGTTGTGTTTTCAGTTGAAAAAATGTCCAACGAGCGTCCCCATGTGGATCTTGCTGTCGAGACTGGAAGAAAAACTGAAACACGTGACCAAAGCGAGGTCCGTGCTGGAGAAAGCCAGGCTCAGGAATCCTAAAAATGCGGAACTGTGGTATGTTATACGTTATCTGTGCTTTCTGTCTATCTTTGATGGGGACTCGACTTTTTGGCGGGAACGCGAGGAGTGAAGTTGTGTGATTTGTTTTATTTTGTCTATTTAGTGTTTCTTCGGGTTTAAATGTGTAATAATGGTGGTTTATTAACTGTTTAATATCTGTGAATGTGCACAAATGTGGAAAAATGAAACAAAGCCGCCGAACGTAACTTCTCGGGATCCTACAAAATGTCTACTAAAAAAGTCTCAATAAATGATCACCATTTTACTGAGATTATATCTCATCCCATATCATCTCATTTCATTTCATCAACTTACGATATTAATCAACTTCATTTCATTTCATAATATCACTTATCATATAAAAAAGTTTTCATTAAAATTAAAATAAGCCTTGACCTAAAGGTCTTAGTTACCAGGTCATAAAATCCCTTAAAACTTTTTTGAGTATAATACTCTAGATTCTAGAGAGATTCTTATAGACTAGAGTGCGGTGTGGGATCGTACATTACAGCCCGGTCTGGACGCCTGAGGTTTTTTTCCCTACCTAATCGTTGGTAGCCTATGAATCTATTCCAACTTCACGCACACCGGTAGATGAGCTCACGGGCTCAACCTGAGAGAATTGCTAACATTAGCCCTAGCAAGAAGGGGGAGAGTGTTGGCAGAGATGTGCATCACACTAAACGCTTCACTTACCCCCCTTTGCCTTTTCATGAGTTCTGTGTCATGCGAGGTTCGGACGTGGATTGTTGAGCGACAGCAGGTTTTGGTCAGTTCGACTCCCACATGCCCCGCCCTCCATCTCCAGCGGAGGGCGGGAGTCGGGCGATTTCCTCCTGACAAAAAAAAGCCCTAGCAAGAGCAGTGCTTCGCAGAATCTACCACCGGATTGGAATCGCGACCCATTGAGAAGATCCGGCGAGAAACTCAGTCTATGGGTTAATTTACTCGTCGAGCCCTTCGTCGCAAGCGACGGTTCCGGCGAGGACGGTGACCATTGCTTGTAGTACCTAAAAGCACTGTTAATAGATCGGGAGGATCCGTAATGACGTGTTTAGGGCGATTAATTTCATTAATCAACCAAAAACAGTATAATTTTTTTTTTATTGCCCTTGTAGGAAGATGAGCATACGGTTCACCTGATGGTGAGTGGTTACCGTCGCCCACGGACTTCAGCAATGCCAGGGGCAGAGCCAAGCCGCTGCCTACCGCTTAATACTCTCCATAAGCCTCGTATGAATTTTGTTTTCATTCTTAGATAAGCATAATGAAAGTTGTTTTTTTTCTCTTCTATTTAGGTTAGAAAGTGTAAGATTAGAACGGCGAAACGGAAGCCCGGAAATAGCTAATGCCGTAATGGCGAAAGCTCTTCAAGAGTGCCCATCTGCCGGTCGACTGTGGGCGGATGCTATCTTCATGGAATCGAGACCGCAGAGGAAGACTAAAAGTGTAAGTTGTTAGGCTATAAGATAAATTATAATACAATAGGTAGGACATTGCATCTCAATACAATTGACTCACCCTTAAATAAAAGAACTTTTTGGGCAAATGGCACACCCTGTTAAGTGATCAGCCGAGCTTATAAACATAACGTCACCCACCTTTGAGGTATGAGGTGAAAATAACAAGCACTCAGTGTCATGCCTATTAGTTGCAGTTTAGTAGTGAAATTTCACCATTCCGAATCTGTAGTAAAACTGTGATAATTTTAAAGGCCTACCCACTAAAAGAAAAACATTTAATCATTTAAACATAATTAACCCTTTTTAATTGTAATAAATAGTAAATGTTTTATTTTATTTTGTTTTAATAAACAAGGATTCCATAAGACCACGACTTCTCTGTCAAGAGTAACAGACCATGATGGTGATGAATTGTAATTAGAATACTGGTGTTATTTATTATACAGGTTGATGCGTTGAAGAAATGCGAACACGACGCCCACGTGCTGCTGGCTGTCTCACAGCTGTTCTGGACGGAGAGGAAACTAAACAAATGCAGGGAATGGTTCAATAGGACGGTTAGTAGTCTAATTATTATTTATAGCAATATAAACTGTCGAGCTGACGGCTGATATCATTCCAAATTTGGCCCGATACTGCTTAAAGGACGACCACCACCTTCTGGCCTTACGCTATATAAAATGAGGCCGAATTAAAAAAATAAAACATTACATTTGAAGTCGTCGTGGCCTAAAGGATAAGACGTCCGGTGCATTTGTATTTAGCAATGCACCGGTGTTCGAATCCCGCAGGCGGGTACCAATGTTTGTAACAAAATACGTATTTAATAAATGTTCACGATTGACTTCCACGGTGAAGGAATAACATCGTGTAATAAAAAATCAAACCCGCAAAATTATGATTTGCGTAATTATTGGTGGTAGGACGTCTAGGAGTCCGCACGGGTAGATACCACCACCCCGCCTATTTCTCCCGTCAATCAGTAATGCGTTTCGGTTTGAAGAATGGGGCAGTCGTTCTAACTATACTGAAACCTTAGAACTCATATCTCAAGGCGGGAGGTATTTACGTTGTAGATGTCTATGGGCTCCAGTAACACCAGGTGGGCTGTGGGCTCGTCCACCCATCTAAGCAATAAAAAAAACCTTCGTACGTCATTCACCCGATAGTGAGCTTTCACCGAAGCTCGTAGACCTGAATAATGATAGAGCTCAATTAGCTCCCTACAGACGAGTAGAGTACAAGCAATGTTAAAAAAATTATTTCGAACGTCCCTTTTTGTAAATTATGCGCATCCGAATTTAACATGTGTCTCTCATGAATTTCATGATGATTGATTGATTCAATGATTCATTCTCTCATGAATGAATTTCATGAATGAATTCATTCTATTTATAGGTAAACTAGATTATTTATGAACGATCTTTAACATATTGATTGGCGTGTAGGTCACTGGTGACCTACCTGTGTATAAGGCATAGTGCACTTGAACATTTACGTCATTATTCATTAGACCGTGTTCCCCGTCTGGCTAGGAATTCGAATACTTCTGATCTCCTTATTTATAATATTTATAATAAACTTTTAATTTTCGTTCATCGACTGTTTTATCGTTAAAATTTGGAAAGCAACAATATAAAAAAAAAACAACACGCGATTTTTTAACACGTGATCTTTATAGTAAATAGCCATATAATATATGCAATGCTTAGTAAAACATGACGCGTTCGCGATTGACTTCCTTGCAACGTTATACAATTTCACTTTCCTTTGTTTAACCTTTTTGCGTACGGAATTATACAGTAAGGCTGTATTTTATTTATTTATTTTATGCGCAACAGAAGATGCTATTGAAAAACTAAAGGTTCTTTCTCAGTAGGTTTTAAAAAAAAGCGTCTAAGATTCCTTATTTTTTAAACGGATTGTCTCGATGTATGTGTTCGTTACTAGTTAAAGCACAGCAGAAATATATCGCTGTCTCTCTCGCACGACATAGTTACGTAAATCCCAATGTTCTGTTTTTTTTTGTTTTATGACAACTTTTGGGGGAATACGATCTTAGAAAAACGTAATAAAATACAAAAGGTGCCTGCTTTTGGTCTCTAATAAGCCAAACGTCCTAAGTGCCCACCTACTAATTATTCAATAAACAGCCCGTAGACCACCACCTATAATAATAATAATAAGGGTTCAATTCTGAGAATTAATTTCGTGGGTGAAACGAAAAAGTGAAAAGTTTTAATTTCCTAAAATCTTAATCTCGATTACATTGCACCGGTATTCTACTCGTAATAAGTACATAATTATGATTAAAAAAAAAGCGAAAGATAAAATACCAACGCGATTAAAATAAAAATTATAGTTGTATGAAATAATAAATTAAATTGTTTAACGCTACTAAAAGGGTACTTGGTTGTTAAGTGCCGCCGCGAATTTATGTATTATAGTAAAACGCCAGATGTTAGAAATCGTGACTTTTAATCATTTGTATCCTTCGTAAATTTAATCTTAGAAATGTTTGAATAGACCCTCTGTTTCGTGTACAATTAATTAATACAACAGAAAAAAAATATCATCGCCATTTTTTTTTTCATTACCTTTTTGCTGGTGGCCTAGATAGCTAGGTAGCTAGCTAACCCAGCTTTATTTTTTATTTTTTTGATTGTCTTTGTATGCAGACGAGCATACGGCCCACCCGATGGTAAGTGGTTACCGTCGCTCATGGACGTCAGTAATGCCAGGGACAGAGCCAAGACGCTGCCTACCACACAGTTACACCCAGACGGGTAGGTGAGCTCACGGGCTCAACCTGAGAGAACTTGCTAACACCAGTCCTAGCAAGATCCGTGCTTCACAGAATCTACCACCGAGTCGAAGTCGCGATTCACTAAGAAGATCCTACGAGAAACTCAGTGGGTTGCTTGTATGGGGATTAATAATAATAATAGGTAATAATAAAAGCAGTCTTGCTGGACAATGCCCGTAGAGCTCGCCGGTTTCTCGCCCAACAGTCCCTAACGCTCCGGCCGATTATTGCCCACCTCGCCGGAGTGTGTCCTGCCGTCTTCCCCGGCGAGGCAATGTTTAATACACATAATAACAATAATAAAGCCTTTTTATTTCCAGTAAATTTACATAACTTAAAATCTATTAATGTGTGTGTGTGTGTGTTTTTTTATCACTTGCTTAATATAATTAGTAGTTATCTTAATATTATGTAGTTATATATGGGGGGATTACCATTGTTTTTTTTTATTGTTTCCAACGAAATTTTATGATCTCAGGTAAAAATCGATCCCGACTTGGGGGACGCTTGGGCGTATTTCTATAAATTCGAGTTACTTCACGGCAACGAACAGCAACAGGAGGACGTGAAGTCGCGTTGTCGGGCCGCCGAGCCGCACCACGGCGAGTACTGGTGCAAGGTTTCTAAGGACATCGTTAACTGGTGTTTCAGCACCGATCAGATACTGCTTCTCGTCGCTAAAAACCTGCCAGTTCCTTCTTAAAGACTTTAAATCCTTAAATACGTTTAGTTTTATGTATGTTAGCATGTAACGGAATCTTTGAACTTACTGGTGGTAGGACCTCTTGTTAGTCCGCACGGGTACGACCACCCTGCCTATTTCTGCCGTGAAGCAGTAATGCGATTCGACTTGAAGGGTGGGGTAGCCGTTGTAACTATACTGAGACCTTAGAACTCATGTCTCAAGGTGGGTAGCGCATTTACGTTGTGGATGTCTATGGGCTCCAGTAACCACTTGACACCAGGTGGGCTGTGATCGCGTCCATCCATCTACGCAATAAAAAATAAAAAAAAAACATGATTTTGACCCCCTTCAAAACGTCGGATTAACTCGAAATTTGGTATACTTATTAAGGACCGATGACAATTCAATATTTAAATTTTTTTTTGATTGAAATTGAAATTCAACCAAAAAATAATAGTGGTAAAAAAACTTACAAAATTCGCTTTTATAGAGAATTCAACTAAAAAATAGAAAATAAATATTAATAAATTTGAATTAAAATTTGTGTGATTTTATTGTAAAAAGAGCGTGGGGTGCACGGTATCAGTAAGTAGTTATACTTAAATATTTTATGAACAGATATGAGTAGAAGGGTTATTTTGATAATATCCTGAAAAGCACATCACGACTATTTTCTATTTTTTAGTTGGATTTTCTATAAAAGCGTATGTATTTTGTCAGTTTTTTTAAACTTTGTTTTTAATTACTAAAAATACTATATTCCAAGGTAACGTTGAGGATTTTAATAAAATTTATAAAGTTTTTTTTTTTCGCGTTTACGCAAATATTCTGCATCAATCTAGCCTAACATAGTTATCTGGCTAGAACATCGGTTACCTTGTTGTTCTAATACTTAATGACCCTGGGTAGTTTATAGGTCTCGGTTAATTTCTTTGTTAATGATATTTGATATTTATATTCGTATGGTATGTATGTGATTCGCATAATAAAAAACTACAATACACCTATCTATCGACTTTGACTGGTTAGATGTGTCAAAACCTACACGAATAGTGTTTTTGAAATTCATTCAACTATGTGTTTAGATAAGCGTGTTTTGCTGATTAAAAAAAAACAACTGCATTCTTATCTCAAATATATTGTGATTTACGGAACCTTGTACCGCTTTGTACTCAGCTTGGTATGTACGATATGTTTTCAATACAATCGATATGTGTTGTGATGTCTATGAGATCCTATATCCCCTTCAGGGCGGGAGGATATGTCGTCTATTTTGTAGCAACTCCGAAAAAGTCGTTTTTAAAGTAAATTGTTCATAACTCGAATTATATTTTTTACGCTATGAGTTTTAAGCTATGAAATGCAAACTTCCTCGTAATTGTTTTCGAAACAAGCTAATTTATAACTAAACTCTTTATCAGACGGCTTAAAATATTTTTGTTTCTTAATTATATTCAAATTCATTTTCAATAAGTCATCCTAACCTTCCCACTATCACCCTGCAATTTGCTCCTCCTTTTTTGAATTTAGAATTTGTAAAATCTTAATGCGATAAAAAGTTTATAAAGCTAGGAATTTCTAAGCTGTCAATACTGTTGAAAAATGTGTCTGTGAATGTAATATCTAAGATTATATGAATGCCACCAACTTTGATCTATTTGGTACTTTTAAATATAGAATATCGAATTTAGAAATTAGTAAAATACAAACCTTAAGGGTTTTTGTCTCTTTTCTTCTTCTAAATGTGATGTATGAAATTAAATAGTGCCACAGAGTATCATTACTAGTGAGGTAGAAGAAGTTTTAAACTAATTTTACGTATTATCTATTAAATAAACTATTACTTACTATAGTTCGTTAATGGTATTAAGAGTTGTAACGTAATTAAATATTGTGTAGTGTTACACATGATCTAGTTTAAGCTTGTAAATTTGCATGTTTTTTTTCTGAAATATATGCATTGAACGAAACTTTTGCCTTTTATTTTGATATTCAAGTACCAGAAAGACGTGCTCAGTTTTCTATTAAACTGTACTTACATATTGTTTGCTGTACATTTTTTATGCGCGTAAAAAAAAAAGTTATTGCATATCATCTACCATAAACACCTTTTATATAAGTTCTAAAAATATATCACGAGATGTGTGAGTTTGAATTATAAACGTGTGTTGGCTATGTGCCAACTGTTCTCCGCGCATGCGTCTAACGAATAACATCACGCATTTTTCGTTTATTTCTTTCCCCGAATTTTTTTAAGACGCAGCGCATATTGCGGCGATGCCCAAATAGTACAGTGAAAGTGTGTTAATACAGGAGATCGTAGTGTAGTTTGAAAATGTCGCCAAAGTGTCCGGTATTGCCGTTACAAGAAATCACGTTGTCGCTAGTAGCGAGACAGTTGATACATACCCTATCTCGGGTGTCATCCGACGAAGATGCCGAGCTATTGTTCGCTATGGTGTCCTCTTACTACGAAAGTATGGGCGCTACAACAGATATCTTCCAGGATCTTATCAACTTAATATTAACGTCGGAATATCTCGATCCTTCGGTGAGATATTACACCATGAAACTACTGCTCAAAGAGAACATTAAGAGCTTAGCGACCGGTATGTTTCCAGTTCCGTATTACAGAAAAGTCATTGAAATAATTGTTGAACAAGGTCGTCATTTAACGTCGCTAAATTTAAAAGGAGTTTGGGTCAAGGATGAACATCTGCCCCTAATGTATCAGCTTATTAAGAATCTCACTAATTTAACTGCTTTGAACATACCCTATATCGCTAATGACGAAGTGCTCAAATATATCGGTGAACATAATAAGGTACTAAAACTGCTTGATGTGTCTGGAGAGACCGATATAAGGGAAATCGGCATTGATGCTATGCTATCTGGTAATCCGCAGTTGACGCAAAGCTTAACGGTTATCAACATAGGAATGTATGGCGAAGAAAACATTGACCACACAGACGTGGCGTTATTAATACGGAGATTACCAAACCTAACAAACCTTGGAAGTTATTCGTTTGTCGGTAAATCTATTTCGCACATTTACAACACGGATTGTCCGCCGAATTTCAAAACAAAGCTACAATACATACACGATCAGCAAACGAATAATAAAACTATGAAGGCTATTGTGAATCTTTGTCCACTGATCGAAACTATTTATCTAGAGGATCCCGATCAAGGCGTATTACAACAGATTAAAGAGCTGAACTGTGTTAACAAAATCAAACTTAACAAGTTCCAATGCCATGAGCTCCATCAATTATTGGATAAAATAGGTCACAAAATTGTAAGTCTCATGTTATCCGGGTCGTCAGGTTCGTTCAACTTCACGAGAATCGCCGAGACTTGTCGAAACCTAGAAAGCATAGAATTTTATTCAATACAAACGGCAACACACGAAGAAGAAACTCCATTCAATAAATTGGAGCATATTGAAATAATACAGGGAAATCTGTCATCGTCCTGTTTAAAATATTTGATGACCGGCAGCCCGAAACTTAAGAAATTAATTATTGGCGATGAGATCAAGTTAGACGATAATGACATGGCACGGTGAGTATTGTTTTAATCTTGTTGGATCACTTGTAATCAATATTACTCATGACTTTTGAGAGAGAAAGCGTTTACGCGCGGTTTTTGAACATGCACAGAGTTAACATTGGCCTCACGGGCGGTGTGATTTGATATTCTCGGTATATTGTCCCATAAATTATGCTCTGAGCATTTGTATGAGATGAACCCGTCATATTTTTCTTTAGCAGAGCTCTCAGCGGTAGATAGACATAGTTTTGTCCCTGGCAACACAAATCTTCATTAATAAGAATACTCATCATCAAATAGACCACAAACACATCAACTATCGAAAGCAATCAATCAAAAACCAATTGTACCTCACATTTTGCGTGGCCACTAGTCACTATTTTTCCAATGAAAACAGTGTCCAGACATTGCTAAGCCCTTGCCAGTCGTATTTATTCAATAGTGACTAAGACCAATAGATATTTATTTAAAAGCAACTGCTTAACTAGTCTTTCCCATCTCTCGTGCAAGCAACTTTCGCCGTGGCTCAGTACGTCAAGGAGGCATAAATATTATAACAATTTTATAATTCCTATTTAATTTATTAATCTTACCTATTTAATCAATGATTTAAATAAGTATTCACTTAACCTATGACTATATATCGAGGGGTGAAAGGCTATTTCGTTTAATACGCGGCATATACCTTTGTAATTAGAGGAGAGTTTTATTTGGTATTAGCATCAACAATTCGATGTTTTTAATTGAACTTCAATTAATTAAGTTTACTCCTTTCAATCTCGAGAGGCTCATCGTGACCGGTAAGGTAGATGAGAGAAGCCCTCGGGGGCGCAGCCCAATACGTTGGTCCGACCAGATCCGCACCGCTCCTGATTCCACATTTCACAACGCCCTCCACACCGCCAGAGACAAGAATAGATGGGGCAAGATCGTGCGTGCGAAGGTGATACAAAAGCGTGGTCACGACCCTCAGCAGTGAGGAATACGATGCAAGGAGGAGGACTCCATTCAAATGGGTGAAGAAGTTTTTCGGGATGATAGTAGTTTTTCCAAATTTTAAACTTTAGATGGCTCTCCTGTAAAGTCGAAAAATGTTGCTTAAACCTTTCAAACGCCAATGTGATAATTATGATAAATAGTATATTATCGTTCACAGAATGTTGCGGAGATATAAATTCGAAAATCTCGAGGGGATATGGTTTCCGAACGCGCCGCGTCTCTCGTTAGAGACCGTTGAGCTATTGATGGAGAGCTGTCCAAAGCTGCAAAGTCTCGGACAACTGAGCGGTTGGCGTTTCACTCCTGACGAAATGATGCTCATGAGAGCGGTCATAGCGAGCACAAATACAGACTTAGTTCTCTCTCCGCTCGGTATATTCCAACAAGGAAACTGATGTCTACACTGGACAATTACACATGCAAATCATTACGATGTATTTCACGAATTATGTTTTCTAGTCATTTGAATAATTTTTTCACGTTTTAAATAAAAGCCAACCGAAAATATTACATGTCATTTATTTAAGAATCAAAAAAACACAATTAGATTGAAAAAATTCAACACAGCATTTATTTTATTAATCGAATTCTAGGATCTAAATCAGTCGTTAAAATGAGATACAATGAATATTAAGTACTGAGTGTACTACTACAAATAGAATCACAAGTGTTTTTCACGAGTCGGCATTGCAAAATAATCTTATTGCGCGACAATATAACCCCCTTATTGTGGTCACCGCTAATTGCATATCTAATGTAGGTATCCTCTAACCCACTCAGTAATGTAGGGCGTTTCTACTTCTAACGCCAACAGCAACCATAGTATCGTAATTGTCAAACTATGTTACACTCACATGATATCAACCCGCTGATTTTCACACCGAACCTTTTTTTTTATTGCTCTTTAGGCAGACTAGTATACGGCCCGACTGATGGTGAGTAGTTACCGTCGCCCATGGACTTCAGCAATACCAGAGGCAGAGCCAAGCCGCTGCCTACCGTTTATACCTATAATTATACTTATATTCACAGTGGGTCGCTTTTTTCATTCGAAGGTAAATGCACTCGTGAAACAGCTGCCTACGCTATTAAATCCATTGCTATTAAATCTCTCCCTCTTAGCTAAGTCGGTGCTCGCCAACCCTGGTGAAGTTAGAAACGCCTCCGTGCCACCAAAAATCTCTTCATCCCAAAAAAAACAAGTAAAACAATGATGAAATTAATTCAAAACCTTCACTCTGAATTTGCTATTCTTTTTAGGTGGTCTGTTTTCTTGGTTCTTTTTGGATTCTTTCTTTATCTTTCTGGCTCGCCACATTTTGCATTCATCGGCGCACTTGGTCGTTATGATACTCCTAAAATAATAGAAACATTAATATATAAGCTATTAGAGAATTATTGGTATAATAGCCGGCAAACTTCTTGAGCATTTGTCGACGTAGTGGGGGTAAGTTTGCGCATGGTACACTCACGTGCAAAAACATTATGTACTCTGCGTCATAATGCTATTAAATTATTAAAATCAACATATGTATTTATTTATATATTTATGAGAACATCAACAAAAAATATAGGTTAATAATTGTAATAATTTAATCTTGGGGTAAAATAGATATTCCTTCTATTAAGTCAAAACTAGAGCTGTTGCCAGGTCTTGGTTCAGTTGAAGCGAAGCTGGTATTTGTAATTTTTTTTTTCGTTATCATAATCTTGACCATCATCATCACTGTTTTTATCACCCGAGTTGCTATCATCGTGATGAGTCGACATAGGGATCATCGGTGTAGTTTACAACTCGGTCGGTTCGGTCTACTTTTTTGTCTATAATTAATTATTTTTTGAAGATATTCGATTCGTAGTAATCGAATGTAACTTTTTTCAATTACCAGCTTCCGATTATTTTCTGTTTTTTTTCCATCTGAAGCCTAGCTCTTTCATAATTCGTCGTAAACTTCATACCGAGCCATTCAAATTTATATCTTCTTTAAAATTTTCGAAGCCTTTCTACGGTACGGAGTTTCACTGCTTGTTATGTAGTTATTATGATTACATCTTTTTATTACAGATTGAACGAAACTATCCATTCCGGTAACTTTCTTCTTCCCTGATCTTTTCTTACCCGGAGTCCGAAACACGGCGAGCAAGCCAGAGCCTTTAGCTTCGTTAATAATGCACCTAACAGTACTCACTGATGTTTTTGTTGCTTCCGAAGTCTGTTTTAATTTTTCCATATCATTCTTCCCCTGTTTTATAATGAAGCAATATACGTCGTACACAAATTTTCTACCCTTTCTTTTAAGTACTACACCAGTTTGTCACGGCATAGTGTATGTTTTATAAAAAATCAACAAACACTCAACAAATAGCAATGGCAACAAAGTCCACAAGCAATTATAACAAATAACTTAACGATTAATAACGATAGACTTTTCACTGTACGCAAGCGTACTTTTGGGAGCAAGCGGAACGAGGGCGCGGTGCGGGACGCAAGGTTCGACTGATCTACCAATAACGCGCTCGATACGATTTCCCCTGCCGTCGCGCCTCACCCTCACCACCAAAGTGATCTAAAATTCGGTTCTGCGCAGTCAAGGTCATTTGCTCACGAAGTTTGCCGGTTACTATACTGTGTTGTTTATTAATAAGATAAAAATAAACTTGTTTTTTTTTATTTGTTTAGATGAGTGGACGAGCTCACAGCCCACCTGGTCGTACGTAGTTACTGGAGCCCATAGACATCTACAACGTAAATGCTCCACCCACCTTGAGATATAATTTCTAAGGTCTCAATACAGTTACGGCTGCCCCCTACCCCCCCCCCCCTCCTTCAATTCACGGCAGAAATAGGCAGGGTGATGGTACCTACCCGCGCGGACTCACAAGAGCTCCTACCACCAGTAATTACGCTAATTATAATTTTTGCGGGTTTGATTTTTATTACACGATGTTATTCCTTCACCGTGGAAGTCAATCGTGAACATTTGTTAAATACGTATTTCATTAGAAAAATTGGTACCCGCCTGCGGGATTCGAACACCGGTGCATCGCTACATACGAATGCACCGGACGTCTTATCCTTTAGGCCACGACGATTTACATCGTTTTTTGTCTCTAATATCTCACATAGAAAAAACCTTACCTGACTAGATTTTCTTTCACATTAAACCGCTCAATTATCTCCGCGATAACATCCGCGATTATTTTCTGATCCAAACATAGTTTAGGTGGCTTATTGAGGAATGCTGGTGACCGTTTGCCCGTAAGAGAGTGAGTAGCCAAAACCCTAGAACACAAACACAGTTAAGTTTTGTTTTAAACAATACATCTAATCAGTAAAAACGAACTGTCTACCTTCTAGGAAACACTGCCAACAATAGAGTACGGGTCGCTTTCGTGTAAGACGACCAGTTAATTTTTTTGAACTGGTCCATGTGTATCAAAGTTTTTCCACTACCTATGGGTGCCTGTAAAAAGTTTTGCATGTTAAATTAATGTGAATTATAATGAAAATAATAACTATAATAATAATAGGGGGAGTAAATCACGCGCGGTCATCCGACCCCAATTTAATGTTCCCTGTGTTATTGGTACCTGGAGACTGACAAACGTACATAAATATGTTTAACACTAAACATACCATAAGGGATCAAATTAATGACCCATTTTGAAACTTTGCATTGAAAATGCACGTATCATTTTATTGCTTTTGACCATTTAACTTCGTGAATTTTTCTTACCAATAAATCTACAGTTATTATACTTTTTTTTTGGTTTTGTTTTGATTATTGTGAGAAATACTTGTCCTATACCGTTATCTAGCCGCTATGGTAGAAATAGGTACCAGTAATTTTTTTTTATTGCTTAGATGGGTGGACGAGCTCACAGCCCACCTGGTATTAAGTGGTTACTGGAGCCCATAGACATCTACAACGTAAATGCGCCACCCATCTTGAGATATAAGTTCTAAGGTCTCAGTATAGTTACAACGGCTGCCCCACCCCTCAAACCGAAACGCATTACTGCTTCACGGCAGAAATAGGCAAGGTGGTGGTACCTACCCGCGCGGACTTACAAAAGGTCCTACCACCAGTTGGTATCATTAGTGTTAAGGTATACATTTGTAGATAATAAACACCCAGACAAAGAGCAAACAAATCTGTTCATCAAACAAATGTTTGCCTGATGCGGGAATCGAACCCGCGACCCCCCGAGCAACAGTCAGGGCTGTAACTACTGCACCGCCCAGTCAGTCACAATTCAATTGAGTCAAATTAAATTTTATAATCGTACTAGCCGTACTCGCCCGCTTCGCTGCGCATTTAAAATTAACATTATTATTTATTGTCATTATTATTAGGGAGTCCAACACTCATATAAATATTAGCCTATCCATTAAGTACATGTATTTCCTACATGGTTTCAAATCAATCGGACGCATGGTTCAGTAGTTATAACGGAACATCCGTAAAAACCACTGTAGATTTATATATTAGTATAGATACATATATAATTTAAAAGGTAATAACTGTTTCTTTTACCCATTCCGTTTTATCTTCTTTTTTTTCTTTTTTCGTTACTTCGGTGGCATTATTCGTTTCATTAGTTTTATCTAGGACATTCAAAGCACTGTCATGTTTGTTGGTAATTAGAACGATGTCGTCAGAACGATCTGATTCGTCGTTCATATTATGCTCGCTCTCTATATCTTCTTCGTTGGTCTGTTCAAATTCTACTGTCGGCGGTATAATAGGTGGTGGAATAAATTCTTGACGATATCTATGTTCGGGGGCAGTTTCACATTTCACTCTTTCGAATGATCTAAAAAGTTCTCTGAACCATTCGTGGAAGTTAAGAGTGGTATCACTGTCCATACTTATTCTCTTCGGTGCTGTGGTAATTTGTAGGTACGGCTCCGTTTTTTGGGCGCGCAACGATTGTAGAAAATTTGCTATAGTTATTTCATCATAACCGGTTTTAACTGGGTCATTATTGTTTGTCGGCTTCGTTACGACCTCACTAACTTTATTTGAAGGCGTCAATGTTTTCTTGCTGGTTCGTTTGTTAGTATATTGCCGTAAATATTTATCCAACCTAGCTTTTCGGGCTTCCTGGATGAAGAATAGAAAACGTATATTACTAAAATAAATCTAGTTTATACAAAAACTGCATTAATGCTTCGTAGGTATTTATGTAAATTGTATAAATTGATGTGTAAAGTAGCAATATTATTATAATATTGTTCATATTTATATTGTTTTTCAACCGATAACTACAGCCCGCTTAATTTATTTCCTGAGGTGGACAATAATCGCTTTCACCTGATGGTAGACTGAAGGAATATTTAATCTTGTATAGGTCCGTTTTATTCAGTATTCGTATCAACAATTAGATCTTTATAATTGAACTGCAATTAAGTTTACCCCATTCAAATAGCTGAAGAAGCTTTTTTGTTTTTAAATAAAAAATAATAATTTATTAATTTAAATTTTAAACGGCTTTCCTGTAAAGTTGTAAAATGTCGCTTAAACTAAATGACATTTCACCCCTCTATATTTTTACCGAGTCGCTCGTTCTCTTGATGTCGCAACAATTTGATTTATACCAGGAACCGCTGAGTACATCCACAATGCTTTTCCAGAATACTATTAACTGATTCAATGTTGTTCCGGACAACTTTATCATGTTGTTCAACCGAGGTTTAAAAGAATCCATCGGGGAAGCAGCGGCTCGGTTATGCTAATATTTATGAGCGACGTTAACCACTTATCACCAGCACTTATCACGGCCATATCCTCATCTGCCATGTGTGGGAATTGAAAAACTCAACTATTAAGACGTGGTATTTTAGCTACTCGCGTCATAGATGACAACAGTTATTAGTAATGCGTCGATGAATATGGACCTCCACGATGACCTGGAGCTTGACTCATCGTGGCCGCCGGAAATTACATACCCCATCCTGTGGACCGAATGGTAAACAGTCGACGTCGCCCTAAACATGTCTACGATACGTACACGATCTATTAACGGTGCTTTTAGGTACCTCAAGCACCGGTCATCTTCCCCGCCGAACTAAGTAAACTAAGCCATAGACACAGCCCACTGAGTTTCTCACCGGATCTTCTCAGTGGGTCGCGTTTCCGATCCGATAGTAGATTCTGCGAAGAACTGCTCTTGCTAGGGCCAGTGTTAGCAACACCTCCTGGTTTAAGCCCCGAGACCTCACCTATACGCTAAGGTAACGCTGATATAGACTCTCAAGGCTATCAGCACGGGTAGGAAAAAACAAAAAAGTAATGCGTACCCTTTCCGAATCTGTAGATATGTCTCGTTCACTCGGCACCCACGAGGAAGAGCTCGATGAGAAGTCTTGGGGTTCTTCCTCCTTTTTATTACTAGGACCGGCCTCGTCCATTTCCTTCAAACGAGCATCCAATGACTCGCGTTCATCTGATGATTTATTACGAACATTTAAAAAATATATTGGCAAATGATAGATGTGACTGAGCTTGGATTTTTATCAATTGCGGGTACATTAAAATCTGGCTCCTGTTCATACAAATATATAATAGGATAATATTATATTACAATTAGAGAACATTCAGCACTAATCACTATACCGACTCAAGACTGTCAAATTAGATTATTTTTTTATTGCTTAGATGGGTAGACGAGCTCACGGCCCACCTAGTGTTAAGTGATCACCGGAGCCCATAGACATCTACAACGTAAATGCCGCCACCCACCTTGAGACATGAGCTATAAGATCTCAGTTTTGACAGTACAACGGCTGCCCGCCCTTCAAACCGAAACGCATTACTGCTCCACGGCAGAAATAGGCAGGGTGGTGGTACCTACCCGTGCGGACTCACAACACGACTTACCACCAGTATAATATGCTGTGAATAACTTTGAAGATTTCACAAAATGTGAAAGTACACTTTTTCACCTACTATCCACATTCCACGACAAGAAAAAGGATACTGACAATATTTTTTCCAAGAACTCGCGGCTTAACTAATGCATCTCCTATCTAACTCGAGATAATGATATCAGGTCGGAGTTTCAATTGATTTCATCACCAGAAGTTCTTCCTGATGTAACCGAGAATAACCATCCATCTGGTGCCATTATCTATATTTTTTTCTATTATATGGGTGGACGAGCTCACGTCCCACCTGGTTAAGTGGTTATCGAGGCTCATTGACATCAACAACGCAATTGACTCCGCTTTACAGTACAACAGTTGTCCCACCCTTCAGACCGAAATGCATTACTGCTTCACGATAGAAATAGGCAGGGTGGTAGTACCTACCCCTGCAGCCTCAGAACACCACCTACCACCAGTAGTTACGAAAATTATAAAAAGTCGTTGTCGTGGTCATCATCATCATCATCATCAAGAGCCCACAGTCGTCCACTGCTAGGCCTCTCCCAATCCACACCGCTGAGCCCGGTCTACGGCTCTCCTGATCCACTTCTTGCCGGCCACCGTTTGGAGGTCATCGCACCACCTAGCCAGGGGGCGTCTCATTGTCGTGGTCAACATTTGCTAAATATTTCATTACAAAAATTGGTACCTGCCTGAGGGATTCGAACATCGGCACAGTCGCACGATACAAATACGCCGGCCGTCTTATCCTTTAGACCACGACGAGTATTCAAAATAAGGAAGTTGTGTTGTTTAATACGACAAAAATTAATGATAGTAAACTGGGCGTTCTGATTTGAAATGTAGAACATCCATTCTACAATACAATTGAGATTTCGGATGGCTGTATGATTTCTTCGCGGTAGAATTAGACCGGACTGTTATATGAGCGGATTAACAATACGTCATGCCATCAGTAATTAAGTACCTTTAGTAGCTTTTTACAATACCTACGGGAAGGGATAAGATGTTTCTGTACTAGACAGCAGACTGTTATTTGTGATATCTATGGGCTGTGTAACCATTCAAACATCAGGTTAGTCGAGAATTTTTCCGTCAAATATTTGCAATAAAAGTATATGCATAACAGTTTTTTTCTGCCTACCTATGCTGATAGCCTCGATTATACCAGCTTCATCGAACGTGGATATATATCAGACTATTATGGTAAATTATTTAAATATGATAACGTGCTACAAAATGTCAATGAACAAATCAGGAACAAATTAATTATGGACTAGCTGCCGTCTATTTGCTGTTTTGAATCGGTTTGATTTTCGCTCACAGACTTCCCTACGTTCTATTGGTCAGCTATGTTTGATAACAACACTATTGTGTTCCCGCGCTAAAAACACCACGTTTCGATGTTTTCGGCAAACGCATACTCGTAACTCGATTTTCATAAAATTTTTAAAGTAAAAACGCAACATTTCAACGCATTTCAAAGAATACCATTTATTTAAAAGATTAGAAAAGATTCATCTGACACTAATTTAGAATAAGCGCGCAAAATTAAATCTCTTCACAAACAAAATGACATCTGCCTAAATTACCAAATATACTGGATTTGAAAACCGACTCTATTGCTATCTGTCACGGGCTATTTTAGCATGGTTGACACAAACACTCAACTGATATCAAAGCTTTCGTGTGATAGTTCCATAGATTGATATTAGAATTGCCATTGTAACTGAATGTGAAACTTAACGTATTGAATTCAAGTATTAAAATTGAGTGTTTGGATCAAGAATGCCTAATAGAAACGGTTACTCCTATCAAACTATGGCCACTGTTGATAACAGCTTAATGAACCAAACAAAAGCACTTTTATGTATAATCGTTTGACAAAAATTGCAAATTAATAAAAATGAAGATAAGTACAGTGGGTAGACAGTAATAAAATTTAATTAAAAATAATTTAGTACTGAACACAAACTGAATAAAATTACAATACGAATTACCAACATTTAGTGCAGTAATGTTTATTGAGTAATTTAAATCGTTTAATTAGAACTTACTTGCACGATCGATGAGCTTTCCTTTCTGCGGCTCGCCTTTCCTATTCGCCGTTATCAGAACGCCGACCTTCAATTCTTGAACATTCGGTTCCAACACAGATTTAATATAAATGACATCGCGACCACCGTCACTCCACTCCACGAGAAGCCAATTTTCATTTGTATTAGCCGACATCGCAAATACGAATTAACTAGGCCAGCGCAAGTAGCGTACTGCATCTACTATATAAGAATTAGACAGAGGGTCTATTAGATTACATTGCTTGAGGACTCAGGTAGAAGTTCCATTGCGGCGCACCCTTACTTGTTATTACCGTCCCCCGCCCGTTGAAGCACGAACAATAACGATTTCGCCAACGGTTCGTGTAGACAAAAAACCGAACCTTTTTTGCGATCGACTTCCTACAAAATTTCCGAGCATAGATTTATATTCTTATTGTTATGAGATTGAAAACGTTTTCTGAGTTATAAAACCATTAGGCGTTTGGTTTGTCTCACGGTTAATGGTGTACGTGACATTTTCAATTTAGAAATTCGAAGCGAACACAATGAAAACTCATTCCAATTCCGAACTTATATATTAATTGAACTATTGAAATTGTACGTCCAACTAGAATTGATATTCTGCTATTCTACATTGCAGTATACATTTACGTGTTGATGGTTAATATGAGCATTTTTTAATTAAAAATTTTGACTCGAGACTGATGGGTATCCAGATTTCCATATTTTTTTAAAACGATTGGACAATTGAGAATGCAGACATGATAAATTTGACAATATTAAACTCCATCTAATTGGACTGCATAAATAATTGATTAATTCTAAACCTAATTCCATCAATGAATTTCTCGTAACACACATTTAATTTTACTAACCTGATTATCTGAGTATGCTTATTGAAGCATAATATGTAATTAGAATATTTGGAATGAAGTATTTATTTATTTATAATGCAATTGATTGATTTTTTCATTGATGTAGAATGTACTAAGGATACGGGATTTAGCATAACGGTGTTGAGCAAAAATGAAACTAAAATTAAATTAAGTACAAAGCAAATTCGGTTGCGCACCTTCAAACATATGGTCGAAGTCTCGTCCGAACATAGCTGGAGTAACCGTCTGCGAATAGGTAGGGAAAAAAATATGGTCGAAGTATTAAAAACAACAACATATCAGTCGAAACGCAGATGAAACGAGTTAATTATACTGCCAACGACAACGAGACTAAAATCTGTTCAAAAATATTAAAACTTTAAATGTGTCTTTTTTTTCCTGCCTATGCTGATAGCCTTGAGAGGCTATTTCAGCTTCACCCTAACGTGTGTAGGTGAGCTCACGGGGCTCAAACCGGAGTGTTGCTGACACTGGCTCTAGCAAGAGCAGTGCTTCGCAAAATCTATCACCGGATCGGAAACGCGACCCACTGAGAAGATCCGGCGAGAAACTCAGTGGGCTGTGTGTATGGGTTAATTCGATCGTCGAGCCCTTCGTCGCAAGCGACGGGTTCGACGAGGACGGTGACCGGTGCTTGTGGTGCCTAAAAGCACCGTTAATGGATCGGGAGGATCCGTAATGACGTGCTTTGGGCGACGTCGACTGTTTACCATTCGGTCTACAGGATCGAGTATGTAGTTTCCAGCGGCCACGACAAGAGGGTTCTCATGTCGTGCCGCCTTCTCGAAATGGCGCAGCGATGCCGACTGTAGATACTTACTGACAGAGTCGAGCTCCAGATCATCGTGGAGGTCCACGTTCCTCAGGAACCATGGTGCTCCGACGGTTATTCTGCAGAATCGGGATTGAATAACCTGAAAGGACTTCAAGTTGGTGCGGGCCGCGTGAGCGAACACTACGCTTACGTACGTCATGACGGGGCGTATGCAAGTTTTGTAGAGAGTTACCTTATTACGGAGGGACAGTTTGCTTCGCTTGCAAAGCATAGGGTACAGACGTCCTAATATGAAGGCGGCACGGTCGCGTACCGTTTTAATATGGGGACGGAATGTCATCCCTCTGGCGAGGGTGACGCCTAGGTATTTTACCTGCGGGGCCCACGGTGTGGGCTGGCTAAAGAGAGTGACGGGGCTAACGGCGGAGGTGTTAACGCGCCTATTAGGGAGTGGGATGCTCGAAGTGGTATTCGGAGGGCGACCCCTTTTGAAGAGCACCGCTGTGCTTTTCGTGGGGTTGATGTCGATTCGCCACTTCCGGAACCACTGTCCCATGGTGGCTACTGCGATCTGGAGATCGCCGATGAAGCAACGACATCTTCCTACACGAGTAGCAGATAGCCGTGTCATTGGCGAAGAGCGCTAGATGGGTCTCCGGAGACCGGGGTATATCATTAATATACAAACTAAATAATAAAGGGGAGAGCGCGGAGCCTTGCGGGACTCCGGCAGTCAGATGACGGGGACGAGAGCGAGTTCCCTCTACTCGATATCGAAACGAACGGTTCGACAAGAAGTCTCGTATGATGAGCACGAGTCTGTCTGGCACTCCCATGTTGTACAGTTTGTAGATCAAACCGTTGTGCCAGACTTTGTCGAACGCCTTCGCGATATCGAAGAAGAGGGCGCCGGTCGGGATTGGTTTACGCCTATTTAGCCCTATTAAGATGTGCTCCGTGAGGCGGTGCACTTGTTGTACGCACGAGTGCTTAGCNTTCGACAAGAAGTCTCGTATGATGAGCACGAGTCTGTCTGGCACTCCCATGTTGTACAGTTTGTAGATCAAACCGTTGTGCCAGACTTTGTCGAACGCCTTCGCGATATCGAAGAAGAGGGCGCCGGTCGGGATTGGTTTACGCCTATTTAGCCCTATTAAGATGTGCTCCGTGAGGCGGTGCACTTGTTGTACGCACGAGTGCTTAGCACGGAATCCAAACTGCTCGCCTATTAGAATTTTATTCACGGTAACGAAGTCCCAGAGGCGTTTCCGAAGGAGCCGTTCGTAAATTTTGCCTATCGTTGGGAGGAGACTAATCGGACGGTAACTAGCGGTTTCGTTTTTCGGATTGCCTGGCTTGTGTATACCGATAACGACCGCTTCTTTCCACACCGCGGGAAAGATGCAGTGCGTCATAGCGGCATTTAAAATGGTAGCCAAAATTGCTATCAGTTGGACTGGTAAGAGTTTAAGCGCGCGCTAGCGGATGCCGTCGGAGCCGGGTGGCTTCTTAGGTTGGAGGTTGTGGATCGCTTCCCTAACTTCGTCAGTGGTAATGGGGGTAACGCGTCCGCGGGCGGCAGAGAAGCTCTGCGCTCAACCTCCCTGTCGACTAACTCGGTGTGAATGTTTCTAATTTCATGCGAGACATAGAGCACATTTCATAATATAGCCATACCACACATTCGCCATACAAATTCTATACCAAATGAATATTTCTGAATTAATTAAAATTAATTGATTAAAAACGTGCCGTTTAGGTAGTTTGGCGTGACAGCGAGACAGCATGCAGTTTGACCTATTATAGCTTGAGCTACCACTGTTTGCCGAGAGATTTCTAACTTTAAATTATTGACGCTCAAAATTGGCACTTAACTCAGTTTTACAACTATATGTTCCGAGACTGGGTTTTAATTGAAAGTTAAATCAGTGTTTATTTTATGAACCTCCATGCCGAAGATGATGACATCGCATTGATTACGACACAAATAAAATAATTCCAGTTTTTTTTTATTGCATGGGGTGAACTAACTCGTGGTCCACATGGTATTAAATATGTAAAGCCGTAAGTAAGTGGTCGCCGGAGTAGCAACATTATTGGCGACCTTCATCTTGGAACTTAACATTCGATAGCGGAACACATTACTGCTTCGCGGTAAAAATAAGCAGGGTTATGATGCCAGCCTATTAATATGCGAATGAGTTTAGGTTTTCATTACATGATAGACCACAGTAGATAGAACACAGTATATTAATGTCATAAACCCCGTGGAGATTTAGCCCATGCTTTAGCATTTTGGAGGTAATGTCTAAGGATAGATCTTCCATCCAGCGGCTGAAATTGCTCAGTAGACCGACAGTCCGATATTAATGAATTTAAGCAAACAATCGTAAATTGATCCCTAGGTACATAAAGGACCTCTTCAATTACAATGTTTAGTTTTATTTAATTTTGACAAAAATATTATTGATCGTGAATGCGTAGGTAAACAATTATTATAAGAATTTTACAACTGCTTTGATTTAAACCGCTTTTATACCAACTACGGAACCCATGCTATCACTCTACAAGTTTGGTTTTTCTTTTATTGTTAAGTTACAGATGAACGAAACTTAAATCAGAGAGAGAGTTTGCGTAAATTCGTAAATGTGTGAGAGAGATAGTAACTAGTAGTATGTCATACCAAAATGAATCCTATTGCTATGGCTATAAAAATGTAACAAGGCTTTACCTCTTCGTTTCACAGAGTAATTATTTAACTCTTTCGATTTCATGAATCATTAGCTTGAGATTACTATCTACGGTAAGCCCAAACGGAAAGGTACCACTATTTCACCTATTTCCGCTTGAACTTGTCATGCACTCTGGTTTAAAAGGTGGAACAGACGTTATAAAATTTACACAAAGATTTCATTCAAGTGGGTAGTGGTATTAACCGTGGTGTTATGTGGTCTCTGAAAAGTAGTCTTAATACCAGGTGAGTTTAATTCCAAGAGATCATTTACCTAAATATAACAAAAAAAAATAGAAAAGAACCAGTCTAGAAGTTGGAATAGCCCCTTAGCCTCTACCTACGATTAGGTAATACAATATCGCGCCAAAAACTTAGTTAAATTCGTCTCAAAAACAAACAAAAAAATATTGTTTTAATTACTTTATTATAAACTTATTTTAAAGAATAGCTACTTAAAAAGTACTATTGATTGTTGACGTAGTAAAGATCTGACCTATTTAACTTTAATGTCTCCTTTTCTTGATTTTGCCCTTATTCCACTGTGTAGGGTCGGAGTAGTACATCTTTTTTTCCATTTGGGCTTATATCATTTTTGAACTTACACATTTCTCTCGGATATTTTCTATTACATAGTCCATCCAAATATCTATAGGACGCTTCCTTCTCACTTTACCATTTAAAAATGCACTTAAGCTATGAACAGCTTATTCTTTAAGTTTTTTAGATCATCTTATCTACATCAAATCTCATTAAAAAAAAGTTTGCATAACATAATACATTGAATTGGAAAATGAGTTGTTGAAAATGAACATAAGTTTTCGTCTTCGTTTAAAAGGTGGTTATGCTGTGCAGGTCCGGCTGACGTTGAACTCAAACTTACAGTTTGGGAATATTTATGTACAATTTTCGGGTTGACGATTTAAAAAGCCCTTGGGTCTCGTAAAAGACGACAACAGTCTTCTGGCTACCAAGCATAGAGTAAGATTATATATAACCTAACTACCAAGCAAGCAGTCAGCCGGTCTTAAAATACGTTCATGCTTATGCATGTTTATATACTTACTCTTTATAGCGGACTCGGTTTAAGTTTAACTGTCAAAATGCATTACTATATTCATTGTTAAATTAATGCTATAATATTTTAGTCTTTGTTTCAATTGGTTTCAAGTATGGGCTTCGTTCCCTGCGCCTGTCTGAAATAAAAAAATAAGAGATTGAGGTTAGTTTATTTTGAAATTGGAATTTTTAATTCTGCTTCTAACTAAAAGTTGATCATACTCATTTTTAATTACTACTAATACTGCTATTACCAGGTTTTAACTATTGACCTCTCCACAACAATAGTATAAATTATAATGGAAGCCGAAACACTACCAAACAAAAAAAAACTTCATAAGGGAAAATTGAAGAAAGCTATGAAATATGTAATCTGTAGGCCTGATCCCATATATTGGTACGTATAGGCATTCTTCTTCCTCTCAGCCGTTTGTTGCACTCTTGGCAGAGTGGTCGTGGTCATCATTTCGTTCAATGGTATTCAGCTAAACTGAAATTCACTTATATTTAAAGGTTCGTTATTAACCCTTTGGACTCCGAAGGATTCTGAACGTTGACTTATCAGTTATTCAGCGCCACTTTACGACAGGACCGAGAATTTACAAACCCTCGTATTATTTATTATAAATTTTGAACTATTATAACAATTTAATATATATGCAATTCATTACATGTTTACTTCTGCTACTACTAATGTCAAATTAGCAGAAATTCTGTTATATTGATAATATATCAATGGAAATACTACCAGATTATGCAAGACGTGCAGAGTAATCATCGAGCACTAGACTACCTAGATATACTTTACAAATAGTACACGCACAGCTAATGTGCGTAGAACCTAACCCTGTGTAATAAACTGTATTTACTACTGATATAGGGAAGGAGAATAGGTGTTGGTAGTACATACCATGTGGTCTATGCCACCTATAACTAAACACTGTGGTGGAAAATCACATGTGGTTGTGATCCAGGTGTGATTGTAATATATGACTGGAAACAAATCACACACAATCATAAGGCTCTAAATTAGGATTTTCTGTGTTATAAGTACCAGAGACTGCATACATACTTATATAGATAATAAACACCTAGACAAGCAGAAAACAAACTTATTATCACATGAATGTTTTCTTAATATGGGAATCAAATCCTGCACAATAGTCAAAACAGGTAACTACTGCACCAGCTTGTCAGTTAAAGTAGAGACACAACCAAATTTTGTTTGATCCAATATTGATCTTGTGTGATTAACATATCACATTATCTCAACGTGCCTGTCAAGAAAATAATAATGATTATTTTTGGTATTCCATATAGAACTAATTCATTTTATTCAAAATCAAATAGTCAGAAGTAAAACGAACTATTAAATCAAGACCAAAAGGTCTGTTTGGATTAAAAAAGTAACAGAAAACTAAAAAATGAACTGTTAGTATATTTATGGCAAAAAAAGGTGGAGCTTTATTGTTTCATTTAAAAAGTAATTTAACTTTAAATTAATATTAGTAGTATTAAAAAGATTGTTTGTACATATAATGTTTAAGTTATTTTTCAGGCCTGTACTGTCTCAAGAACATGGAAAACAATTAGAATTGGCACTAGGCGAATATAAAATTGACACACCAGTGTTTAAAAAATTACACTGGAATGAATTAAAATGTATACCTAAAGAAACAAGACCTAAACCACCACCAATAAAGTTAGTATACCATTTTCTTATTCTGTTAATGCAATTTTTAAATCACCTCACTGAAAATACTAAAATTTATTCTCAAATAAAGGTTTCCTTGTATAGTGTTCTACTTGAATACAAGGGTGCTAGCAACTTGTCAACTCACCTTAGGAATAAAAAAAAGTATTACAGTTTTTATTGTTCATGGGTCACATGATATGTGGTTGTTGGTGACTATACACACCGTGTATATTTCCCCTGCCTTGACTAAACATTTGGACCCTAGGTTAAAGATGGTTGCAGTATAATAAGTTTAAGTACAACCATACCTTTCTGTCTCGAAAATATTGCTTTTTTGTATTAATGGAACCCCCGGTTCAAAACTGGGCTCACATTACCCAACGCTAGTGTTCAAGATAATTATTAGGGCCGGTAGGGAGGATATTAGATAGAAATTACTGGGCAGTGGTTATATTATAGAATTTGAGATTTCAACCCAATGTCTTAAGATGAATGACTTACGACCGAGTACCTAGAGCAGTTTTGTGGTGGGCATTGAATGAGAAAGGTATACCTGGTAAGTATGTGAGGTTAATCTGTGCCATGTACAGTCGAGCCAGGACGTATGTACGAACCGCCGCGGGGAATTCCGACGAGTTCAATGTGGCAGTGGGCTTACACCAAGGGTCTGCACTAAGTCCCTATCTCTTCCTGCTTGTGATGGATGCCTTGACATCGGAGATACAGGAAGAGCCCCCTTGGTGTATGCTGTTTGCCGATGACATAGTGCTCGTCGGAGAAAACGGGCTCGAGGTCCAAAACATACTGGAGAAATGGCGATGCAAGTTGGAGAGTGTTGGCCTAAAAATCAGCAGATCGAAAACCGAACATCTGTTCTGTGATTTTGGCGGTCTCTCCAATTTTACACCCATTTCCCTCGACGGAACACCTTTGCCAGTATGTCAAGACTTCCGATACCTAGGGTCTGTTATCCAAAGCGACGGTGAACTGGATCGTACTGTGAGGCACAGAATTGACGCAGGATGGATGAAATGGCGGCAGGTCACGGGCACCATATGTGACTCGCACATCCCTCTTCCCCTAAAAGGGAAGATATATAAGACCTTAATAAGGCCTGCCGTCTTGTATGGATCAGCTTGTTGGACAACGAAAGTGGCGGATGAAAGGCGATTGCATGCAGCAGAGATGCGAATGTTGCGATGGATGTGTGGAGTAACGAGAATGGATAGAATACGGAATGAATATGTTAGAGGAAGTCTGAAAGTGGCACCTGTGACAGAGAAGCTGAGGAGTGCACGTTTGGGATGGTATGGACATGTGATGAGACGGAATGAAAATGAGGTTGTTAAGAGAGTGTTAACTATGAATGTGGAAGGATTTAGAGGAAGAGGTAGACCTAAGAAGAAATGGATGGATTGTGTGAAAGACGATATGGGTAGGAGGGGAGTGAGCGAAGAAATGGTATATGATAGAAGAGTATGGAAGGAGAAAACATGTTGCGCCGACCCCAGGTGACTGGGAGAAGGGCAGGATAATGATGATGATGTCTTAAGATGAATGACTGCAGGTGTGGTATTATTATTAAAATAATAATTCCTACTGTCCATTTAGTTTTGTTCAGTTATAAGTACCTTAAACTTGTTATTTATTGGTCATAGTATTAGTCATAATACTATACAATTGAAACTTAGGCCTCAGGAAGGTGGCATTCATGTTGTAATGTGAATGGGCTCCAGTAACTACTTAACATCAACGCAAAAACAAGGTGATTTCACTAGTGCTATATTTATGTTTTATTATTATGAACTTAAGCACATGTATTGGGTAACAACCAGTCACAAGTCAGTTCACTGTTTTTATACAACCGTCACTTAGCAATACTTATAGTTACTACTGGTTGTAGGACCTCTTGTGAGTCCGCACGGGTAGGTACCACGACCCCGCCTATTTCTGCCGTGAAGCAGTAATGTGTTTCGATTTAAAGGGTGGGGTAGTCTTTGTAACTATACTGAGACCTTAGAACTTATATCTCAAGGTGGGTGGTGCATTTTCGTTGTAGATGTCTATGGGCTCCAGTAACCACTTAACACCAGGTGGGCTGTGAGCTCGTCCAACCATCTAAGCAATAAAAATTGAATTAAAAAAATTATTAAAAGGAGAACAAGTAAGTATGCTCACTAACACACTAAATATATTATAATAAAACATAGAAATTGTTACAGGATAGTTGATGGTTTTATATTTGGCACAGCAGCAACTAAAGCAGCATTAAAGAATTGTCAGTGCTCTGCAGTAATAATAGAAGCATTAGTAAATCCCCGAGCAATTGTACAGCCAGTCATTGAGGAATGCATTAACACAAGAACCCCTATAGTTTGTTTGACGAATTTGAAAAAAAATTGTTTCCAGTATTTTAGAATTCCCACAAGTTGTTTAGCCATTAAAACGGATAGTCTGCATAACCTCAAAAATAAAATACTTGAAATTTCGCAATTCTACAAAAATGATCTACAATTGGAATCAGAAGATAAACATATAAATGTGGATGTAGAAATGAAAGTTTGCTCACAAGAAGAAAAACCTGTTAAGTCTGTGAACTCTGTCGAAATTTATCCATATTTGTATAGAACTAACAAAACTTCCAGAGTATTTGTACCTGATGAAGTAATCACACAAAAGAGAATGGAGTTTTCAGGTCAAGATTACATAAATTTTACAGACAAAAAGAAACAAGAGAGCACTAATTACATGAGAATGATTGTAAAGAGAATAACTAGCAATCCGAATAGAGCAAAAAATAAACGAAAAATTGATATGTAGCACATATTTTTTATTTATAAAATACAAATGAGCTATGATGTCAAAAAGACATTTATCCTTATACATTCATCAATGAATGTAAAAATTAATAGGTAGATGGTAACTTTACATACAACGTAAAGTTGTTAACCATCCAGTCTATTTGTAAACAAATTTCACCATTTCTCTGGGAAACATTTTCCGCAATATGAGATTACGGTAAGTTTACAATACATTAATGTTAAAATTAACGCAGCACTGCTCACAATTAAAAAATCTTTGTAACAATGAATGCTTAATTGTATGCAGTATTACGTGGGGTAGATATATTTATCTTACATTTTCTTTCCATGCATTGCATTTAAGTTTTGATACAGTTCAATTTTATTAAAATCAAACAAATGAATGTCGTCTTTATAGCTATAACTTATAGTCCTTAATAGCTGGCCATCGATTTTTCCTTACTATTCTAATAGAGAATATAACATAAATCCCGACAATACAGTAAAATCTCCTTATTCGCTTTTTCACTATTTGCAGATTAAAAAAAATGGGACGGATCTAATCGGTACATACACATTGATATAAAACATGCCAATATTTAGGTATCCAACCGTATATCCTTTGTAAACGCGCTATTCTATATTCACGGAAAGTATACCACGCGAATAAAGAGCTTTTACTTTATATGAAATGCTTTCAGGATGAGAGAAAATGTCTGATGTGTTTTATTATTTACCATATTTTTATTCAGGAATTCTCCTGATATTGCTTACATCTCAATATGAAATAGTTCATCTATAAATGGTTGACTATGAACTCTTATATGCTCAAAAATTCATTATCAAAATATGAAAAATGGACGTCCAACCTGAAATTGTTGTGATATCAAGAGTCATTTTCAATGTACATATAAATCACATTTCCCTAAAGACTATTCTTGTGTATAAAGAACATACATAAATATAAAATTCCTCAATATAAACCAAACATGAAAGGTTCTTAGTTAAATTTAATAATGTTAATAATATTTATAACTAAATTAACAAATCTAATCTAAATGATACACAGTATCAATAAACTTTAAAATTATTTAATTACAAATTCTTAATGTGCCCATATGCTTACATAGTAGTATAAAGTGCACCTATCACTGGAAAAAAAAAAAAAAAACTTATCTTTAATAGTTAATCAATATGTTAGTTTAGTGTTACAAAGTGTATAATGAAGAACAACAAAGAAAACTTACGATTTAGCATTCATATAAATTCATTTTGTTTTAAACAATTTGGTGAATAGCTAAAACGCGCTTCTCAGAAGAACGTTGCCAATGTTTTAGAAACAGAATGTTAAAATCGTAAGCGGTAACAGGCGCCTGTTTGTATTTTCTGCTATAAGAGAAAAGTACTTCAGGCCACGCTTTTTGTTTTATAAGAAATTTTAAGCTCTTGCGTTACAACTTATGTGGGCGTTTCGAAGGCTCGACTGGTGACTGAGCTCGAACGTGCGACCCGATTTTGAAGTAAACCGGGGGCAATTCGAAGTACGACACCCCAACGGCTAGCGCAGCGGCCGCGGCGGGGGCGCCTCGCTGGGCCGGTACCGCGCTAAAATAATTGCGCACATTTTCTGTGCGTCCGTCTCTTCCGGGTATGCGGCCATCGCCTCCGCCACCTGCGCCTCTGGGAAGATGGCGGATAAATGGAAGTGCATACGGCGCCGCGCGTCCCAGTGCTGCAACGCGCCGTCCGACGCGCCCGCCGCCAGCCGCGCCGCCCCCGCCGCCCCGCACGCCGCGCCCCCCTGCCCCGGCGCGCTGGCCACGCGGCTCGCCAGCGCGTGCAGTCGCGGGTCGCACGCTGGATTCAGAGTGAGCTGGCGGGCGAGTTTGCGATGCGGGTTGAAGTCCGGGGACGAAGACGGTGCCGACGGCCCGGCCGGCTGCAGCTGTGCGCGATCGAAGTGCGTAGCGAGTGCCGTGTCGGCGAGGCGCGGAGCGGCGGAGTGAGCTCGCGCGAGTGGACGCTTCGAGTCGGAAGGGCGGCCGCCGGGCGGGAGGCTGACCGTGTGCAAGTCGCGAGCGCGCAAGGCTTTGGCGGCACGTTCGCTCAGTTTTTCAGCGACTGATTTATGCGGTCGACCCGCTCGTTCCGGATGATAAAATTTGCATTTGTTCCCGTAGGTGCATTTTCGGCCGTACGGGCAGGGGGGCGGAGGTTCGACGCGGGAGGGGGGTATGCGGAGGAAGGCATCGAGCGTCGGACCCGTTCGGCCAAGAGGGTCTTCCGGGGGCATGAACCGATCGTTAACGAATGAGTACATAAGTAGACGTTCCTCGACGACCCGGCGAAAATCGGGGCTCTCTGCAGCGAGGTCGCGGTAATTGTCGTTGGAGACGACGATCCCGTCTGTGTCCGCGGCCAAACGCAGTACGTATCGGTCGTCATAGCACACGAGACGCTTGCCGCCGAGCAGCCTGCTGGGCGTGTAGACGAGCACGCGGTCGCGCTCCAGCCGGTCCAGCACGTCCCGGTCGGCGACGGGGTTGTCGGGCCGAGATGCTTCCTTACGCCATTTGGGTACGAACACGATGATCTCTTTGTGGCCGCGAGCTCGGAACCAATCAACGCATATTTCTATACCGCGACAAGAAAAAACTTCCTTGTTTCCGTGGCTGGAACAAAACAAAAAAATATTAATTTAGAAACCTTGGTGAGCATTATAAGGAACGATTTCTATTTAGCTATTGTTGAATTATAAATATTTTTATTAAAAACACACCAATTTGAAGTTGAGCTTTTAATTATTTTATTCATGTAAAAAAAAGTTGCAAGGTTTTTTTTTAATGAGCATTTATCCCCTGCAATGTCAGTGTTGCAAGTTTAATAAAAACTGAACTTTTCACTTCTGTTCCTATACACAAAGATTTCCTAAATATAATTCTCTTCGTTTAAGAACGCCCATGTGTGTGAGTGTGTATTAATACACATTAATCTTGTGTAAAAGCAAACCTTTGCAACAAATTTATAAGATTCTTAATACGTAACATAAACACCACAAAGTCGAGAAACCCATAAACAAGGATTTTATAAATAAACCTTAGTGCAACTTTATTAACTTGAAGAAGAAAAATTGTATGTTTTATTGGGTTCAGCTGATCGATTCGTCAGATCGAGGCGGACGTTAATATCAACTTGTACACGATAAATCATAGCAGTAACTCAACTCCTTACACACATTCAATTGTGTATGAGTTTGTCTATGTTTGCCAGCATAGACCTCACTTATTATTCAATTTTATATCCTGTAGTTTCATTGTCAATTTATCAAAGAATCAACGAAATCAAGTTTTTACCTCGACGTCAATATTCTTTAAAGATTTATTTGATTAATTATAATGATGATATTAATATATTAATGATCAAAAACGGAATATTTAATTTCTTGTATGTATATATGTAAATATAATTCATAAATCTCCGTTCGAGTCGAAGATATGATTGAGTTGAGTTACTGTTTTAAATGATAAACTATTCATAAATAAATAAAAACTTATGGCATTTTGTGGGCTCGTATTGGAAATCGTTTTACTAAAAAAATGTATTAAATATAGTAAACTAAATTAAAATGTAAACTAAATGAATGACGAATAATGAATGATTTATTTTATTTCAGACAACAACAACAAGTCCATATGTGTGTACATAGTATCATTGAAATATACTTAAAATTAACAAAAAAAAATCAAATAAAAAAGATAATACATATTCAATATTCGTTTCCAAATCAATAAATTACGAATTCGAATCAAAATGGCTCTGCACACATTTCGTTGTATCTGGGTTACACTAGTCAGTTCACTAGTGTTGCCAGTACATGAGACGCTTACGGATTGTAATTAAAATCTCGAAGGGCGTATGTGATAACTGACAAACTTTAACGTAATTAAAAATATTGATTACCTCATAGCGACGTTGCTACCGTCAATGACGATTTGCCGCAGCGGCGACCTTTCAGGTGTCGGGTCAACCTCGGCGGGAGGGGGAGGCGAGGGCGCGCGGGGAGGTTGCTGCGCTGCAAGTCTTATGAGCTCCGCCAGAAGCTCATTTCGGGGAGGGTCTTGACCCAAGCGCTGCAGTGCTATCCTTGCCAGACGTTCCGAATAACCCAGTTTCACGGCAAATTCGATTTTAGCCTGAAAATTTACATTTCATTTTGAATTCATTGTTGTGAAGAAATCATGCCTTCTGTATGCTTAGTGAGAGTTTTCTAACGTTCTCGATAGCGTGAAAGTTAGCTCATATTTGTATGGAACGGGATCGTTTACCTACGTTTGCCGCTAGGGGCGCTGTTCCAACTGCATACAAAATTGGGTTAACTTTTACGCTATCGAGAAAGTTAAAAACCCACACTAAGCACACTGGTTGTAACGTAAAAACTGCATTAAGATTGCAGATGAGCAGCTTGCACGCTGGTACTAAAACACCAAAAGACCTAAGCTCAACTCTCTAGTAAAAATACTAAGTTCAATTACTATCATAAACAAATACAATTTTTATCTGTTCGTACATAAGTGCAAGTGCATTTTTTTAATATATTTAGAAACGCATTTTATCAGGTAAATCACTATTTCCTAGCCTTGAAACTCCGCAATTTAAGTATATTTAGCCTAAGTTTACAAATTTCTGCACCATATTGGTTGGTGGCAATTACTTTGTAGTTTGTCTGTGGGCTTCAAATACCGCTTCGAATCCGACACAAGTGTTTTTTTTTTATTGCCCTTGTAGGCATACGAACATACGGCCCACCTGATGGTGAGTGGTTACCGTCGCTCATTAACTTCAGCAATGCCAGGAGCAGAGCTAAGCCGCTGCCTACCGACAGATGACAAACTCTAGGCTTTAAACTTTACTGTTCTCCAAAACTCACCTGGTTTGGTTGTGGTACCGAAGGCGTGACGGTGACGTATTCAGCGAACTCCGCGGCGAGTGTGTCGGAAGGGGTGCGAGAGGCGGCACGATGCGCACTGTCTTCTTCGCATTCGGAATCATAGCTAGAGTCCTCGGCGCGTTCGCCGGCCCATCCCAACGATGACTCCACATATTTCTGATTAAAATAATACGTTATTAGTTTTTTTTATGTACTAGCTGACCCGGCAAACTTCGTAGTGCCTCAACCGATTAATAAAATACCTAAACTTTTGTATAAAATAAACTTAAAACGAACAAAAGGAATTCATCCGACGGGGGACACATCAAAGGGAAAACAAAACTGTTATTTTTATTTAATTTCGAGCATTTTCATATTTATCTACCTTTTTAACCTTCTCTGGACTTGCACAAATAATTCAAGACCAAAATTAGCCAAATCGGTCCAGCAGTTCTGGAGTGTTAGCGAGACTGACGAACAGCAATTCATTTTTATATATACAGGTTTATCTATTAATAATCTGAAGATTCCAGAGTTTTATATGTCATAACAATTCAACTGTGTTAATCTTGACCCTATTTTAAAAATTTTGATTGTATATAGATTCGATTCGGTCGATTAGGTGTTTTTGGTAAGATAATAAAATATTTACGGAAAGTTATTCGAAACGACGTGAATTGCATAATTTATAAAAGGCACACCAAATTAAATCATGTGTGTTTAAAATCATAAAGATGTATTTTTAAGTTATTTAGAGACTTTTTACTATTACTTATTAATATATACCAGATTTAACATGTAACATTATTCTATAATATGTATGTACTGGATTGTTTATTTATTTAACTGATCAGTACTTGGAGTTTTAAATAAATAAAAATTTAGGATATTTTTAGGAATTTTACAACAAAAAAACCATATTAAGCTATGATGCACACCCAAAATCCCGCTGCCTAAACTACGAGCGGCTTAAAAAAAACGTATTCAAAACATACGATTATCGATCAATAAGCGCAATTTTTTTTTTTAATACAGTACCAAACCCGGCACACGACAGGGTCATGAGGGCGCCGAAGCGGATCTACAGATGATCATTGACCTTCAACGTGTGCGCAACGTCCATCCTTGTACCGGTTGTAATTCATTATACTACGAATTCACCAAAAGCGATTCTCGAGTTTTTATTAATCTAAAAGGCCACGTTAACTGTTTAGAGGGTTTACTTGAATTAAACGTATTTTATTAATTAGTCATTGTCGAACGAGATCCGCATTGAGACCTAGTTGGCGGATACTGTAGTTCTAAATTGAGATTCATTTCGGACAGTTTCACTTTGCACGAACGTGTTATTGCAGATTAATGAAAACTAGAGGTCCCGCAATAGTCGAAATTCGACTATAATTTATTGGAATTGTAAGTTTGTACACTATTATGATTAATTTTTTATACTTCTATAATCACAAATTTCGCCAAGACTACACTATAAAGAAAAAATATTAACAAAGACAAACAATATTTAATCTATTCTCAATTTGACAACAGACATCAAGAACAAAAGTTTGACAATAAATAGTATGCATGCGTGTGTGCGTAAAATACATGGTATGTAGTGTGTGTAATGTTTTCTTTATTGATTTAATGTATCTTTTATGCATTATTTTACAAAAAAAATAGCATTGTGCACTTCTTCTCTATATTCTCTATAAGTGTGGAAAATTTCATACTCCTCCGTCCGCGCAATAGTCGTAAAAAGGGATACAAAGTTTTTGGTTCACGTATTAATATAAAGAAGATAAAATCAACACGAAACATCAAAACGATGACGGAAATGGTTAATTATTAAAAGCGTTTACATGCATTTTAAATATACACGTTGGATGTCATCGCGAATAATAGCTTCTCAATAATAATAACATGTGCTGTAAAACAAACAGGTTCTTTTCCTTTCGTATAATCCAAATGAATTCGTAATGTTGGATGTTAAAGTTTAGTAGGCCTCCGCTGGGAGCCAACATCCGGCTAATGTCGCACGGAAGCGACCTGCCTTCACGTAAAGCCGGATACGACTTTCTAAAAGTATACTGAACAACCTATTGCAGGTTTAAGGTGACACGGATTTAGTTGAAATGCAAATTTTGAATGAACGGCGCGGCGTCAAGTTCGTTATCCAAAATTTAATTTTCAATCTAATAATTTATTTGATACGTCTGCATATATGTAACAAAATACATAAATTTATCGTATTAAATTTTTAAAACTAAATAATATATTCAACAGTTCATGTTCCGTATTATTTGATATTTTGTTCTTATATAATGCAAGGTTTATCATGTCAACTTCTTAGAGCTATTTATTTTTCTTCGCGCCGCGATAGAGAGAGCCAACGTAGGTACCTTTCGAAGAATTACTATGTAGAAAATCGTTGTAGCGTCTATTTCCTCATGACGAGTAGCAAACGTTTCATACAAAACAAAAAAACCCAATGGATTATCCCGCTTTATTTTAGCAACGTTAATTTACGCGGGCCAAAAGTTTGTTTACGTTTTTTTTTTTACTTTTTTTCCGATCATCTCGTTGTGTTCCAATAAAAAAATGGTACGACACAATGCGTCATTGTATTTGGAACAGTAATTACAAGATATTGTTTCTTGTTTTCAAAGCCAAAGCTACAGAAAAACATTCTAAATAGATTATTCACGAGCCACTAAATCTAACGAAGGTCATGCGATTATCTGCAAACTATTCAATAGAATTGTTTCTCTTTTTTTTTTCAATCTACGAAAGTATTGCAAAGGAATCTTATACGTTTCTCTCTTAAGTACCTTTTTTAATTTTCTTTCGCTCTAAAATTTATTGTTACACTAAACCAAAGTCAACTTACTTACTGGTTTAATTTCAAAAATTATTTATTTTACAACGTTTGCTATTTCCAATACAGGTAAGTTTTCGCGGTTAACTGTTTTTAGGACGCTTTCATTATACTAGTGGTCCCCTGCAATAGTCGAAATTCGACTATAATAATAATTAAATTATTATGTTTGATCACTATTAAGGTTCTATTGTCAAATACTATTTATTATACTTCTTTAATCACATATTTCACTAAGACTATACTATAGACAAATAATATTACAAACAACATTAATCTATTCTCAATTTGACCACAGACTTTAAACAATAACAAAAGTTTAACAATATACAAAGAGTGTATGTATATATGTGTTGTGTCAAATACAGGGTAGTGTGTGTAATTTTTAATTTATTGATTTAATGTATTTTTTATGCATAGTTTAAAAATAAATTAGCATTCTGCACTCCTTTATATTCACTGTAATTGTGGGAAATTTCAACTCCTCTGTTCGCGCAATTTTCTTACAAAGGGGTACAAAGTTTTTGCTTCGCGTATTAATATATAGATACCTAAAGCTTATTTTGATCGAATTCAAGATGTCTGATTAACTTGAAGATTTGCACACAATACAATTATTTTATAACTTCGCTCTGATATCTTGATCAATATAATAAAATTTAGTTTTTATTTCGGGTTGAAGTTTAAGCTTTTTTGTTTTGTTTTTAAACTACCTACATATATTATTATTGTTTTTAAAAATCATGCTTTTTACATTATGTTAGATAAAGGACCTTAAATTATATATTTATGTATGGGAAGCGAGTAAAGAGAATCGCAGATGTTATACAATTCCGTTCGACTTAAGAAACTTAAGTCAAACTAACTAGCATACAAGATTTATTATTGTGGAGAAATGGAAAAGCAGTGGATATGTTTTTTTCTTTTTTTTTTCTACCTAAGCTGGTAAGCCTTGAGAGGCTATTCCAGCGTAACTTTAACTAGTAGGTGAGCTCACGGGGCTCAAACCTGACGACGTTGCTAACACGAACCCTAGCAAGAGCCGTGCTTCGCAGAATCTACCACCGGATCGGAAACGCGACCCACTGAGAAGATCCGGCGAGATACTCAGTGGGCTGTGTCTGAGGGTTAATTTACTCGTCGAGCCCTTTGTCGCAAGCGACGGGTTCGACGAGAACGATGACCGGGTGGATATGTGAATTAAATATAAACTATATGGAATAGTTATAAAATCGGAATATAGCGGAATCTTCATGAATTTATTTGTTAAGTGAATTTATTAATATATTCCTTTTAATACTGTATAAACTATTATATGTATGTATATGTGTTTGTGTTAATATGTATATATGTATATATCTTTTTGTGTATTTATTTGTAATTTAATATAAATTTTATTTCACCTACTACTATTTACTCTGCATGGTTGACTGGTAGAGAATGCCTTAGGCATTAAATCCGCCAATGTAAATTTTACATGAAGCGTAATAAATAAATTAGTAAATAAATAAATAGGGCATTTGACAGTAATACCTGACCCAAATAATATATTAGGTCTACTGCACCTAATGTCAGCCTACCTACATTTTGTAGCAGTTCTAGTTTGAATTGAATATTTAGTGAGTTATCCGATTCAAATCGTAATTACATTTGGTTTTCAATTCAAGAGGTGTGTCGAACGAATTAATTAAGGTCCTCCGGTACGCTTTTAATGTTAAGATGCATTACTTTGTTTAAATTAAACAATTATTATGCAAATGTACGATAATTATAATTGATAAGGATGACGTCAATTAGATCATTAATCAAATTTATTACTTGAACGCAAATAAAGGGCAACGGTTATAAAGTACTATATTTACATAAAGGTTATCGAAACTTCAGTTTAAATTGATTGATTGATGCTTTATAGTTTACTAAACAATAATAATTATTATCGTATTCTCTTGTTAGTTTAGTTTTAAGGGACATGTTTTTTTAGATATCGCTATTACTAGCTATTACCGTAGCTATTACCACAACTAAGACAAACTTTGTTCTTGGATATTTTTTTTTATTATTAAAATCTAAAGCCAACTTTCAAGTTCTCCGTGCCGTGTAGCTTTCATAACGCCGTTTCACGCGCCGAATCATATCTTGCCGCGATAACGTTGGCTGCCGATGAATGAGTACAATTAGTTCCGTTTTGTGTAGGAGAAATTCTATCAGTGGTCCGTTGTAGAGATAAGAACGACCAATACGGTGGGAGAGTTCTGGCTACGTCGGAACGCGCCACCTCGTACGATGTGTGTCGTCACAATCGAACAGG